TAAGTTTGTATTATTATTTAAAGTTGAAGAATACTGAATGTTAAGTGTCCTACTTAATGCGTACTGTAATTACGCAATTCCACTTGCATGGGCTTCGAGGTGGTTAGGATACGAAAGTACAGCAAATGGGTTGTGAACTCATCCGTGCGGACTTTTATAAATCATATCCAATGACTGGGAAACCCAGCAGTATCTGATTAGCAGGCCTGACTGCTGATGAGGCCCTCAAGGTCGAGAACGTCCAAGAGCTTTATTGTTCTAACAAACGCTGCTAGGTCTTATTGGTATTGAATTCCAATAGGCGGATTAGAGCTGGTTTTGTTCATTCACATTCATATACCTAGCCAAGGAGTCTCCATTGCATAATGCAACAAAGCTTTATTATGCACATACCGAAGGACACATTATTCGATTACATTAATCGTCTTATTCAACTCACGAACCGTGTTTAAGCATCGATGTTGCTCGTATGTAAATGTTTAACATTCTGGAGGCCGCAACATTCACCGTATTCATGTTAAGACTATTTACTCTAAGACATGAAACAATCACGTTCGCAATATTCAATCATCTGTTAAGAGATTCTTACAAGCAATCCATTTGTCATATGAAGAGGTGGGAGAGCTAGGGAAGAATGCTGTTTAGCATTTAACATTCAAAATGTGTTTAACATCGGCTGTGTCGTACTCCTCACCTCCAATAGGTGAATAGAAATCAGTCATTGGGGGTATCTATAATTGAATCACCCCGTCTGATAGCGGCGGATCTAGGGCATAAGAAAATCAAGCAAATGATTAGTGCCTCTAAGTAACTCCATGGGACCCAAATCCATGACAAAATATATTGGCTAAAATGAAATAAAAACCCTATCTCAAGCATCTTGGATCTAACCTTCTCTCATCTCACTGCATCGTTGTATCTCTCGTCTTGCGTCTCTCATATTCCATCTCTATCTCTCATCGCACTGCATCTCTGTATCTTAACGTCTCTCGTTCCACTGCACCCTCATCTGTATCTCGTCTCACATATCTTACTACACGTTTATTTTTGCCTACATATGTTACTTCACCACATCTCAATCGCTTGCTTATGTCTCACTAGCAATGTATTAACTGAAAGGGGGGTGGGTGGGAGTGGGGTGGGTCGCCAAACATAATTTCTTAGGGCCCTCAATGGGACCAGCAATTCCACGAAACTATATATTTTTATTTACCAGATAAGACCCACTGATCTATACAGCTCCCCCCCCCCCCCCCAAATCTACCTGGCCACAAATGATAGATCAGCTCAACGAAGTGGCTTATCATGTGGACATTTATCGCAGCCAAACACTCTTGTTTTCAACGCACGTTTCGAAGCGCGTGTTGCCGATGTACGGCAAACCCCAAAGGGTGCGTTCGGGGAGCGGCGGTGCAGCGTTCAGCGCGCTGTGCAAACGAACCCGGCTACCCGAGTTCGACTCCCGCTCGCGGCCAACACCGGTGACGATTACCGGAACCGGCGTTGGGCTTCCCGAAGGTCGACTTGGCCTCAAAATGATTTCCTTGGTGCGGTGTGTAAACTTCGTCACTAGGGAGACAAAGGCGGCCGGGCGTGCTGCTGGCCACCCCACCCCGCTCGTGTGCAACCGTGCCAGCCTTCATAGGTGCTCGCTAACAGCACTTGCCCCAAACAGTCCGTTAAGGCTACAGGGGGATCTTTGTCTTTGTTATTGCCCCCCCTCCCCTTTCCGAAAGGCAAAATCAACACGAACTGACCACGCCAAGCCTGCCACGTCATCGATCCCGGCCAGCCAGGCAAACACGTGGAACACACTCAGCCCTGCCACCACCACCCTCCTCCTCCTTCCACCAACCACCCAACCAACCACCTCCAAACACGTGGAACACACTCAGCCCTGCCACCACCACCAACCACCTAACCCACCACCTCCAAACACGTGGAACACACTCAGCCCTGCCACCAACCACCTAATCCACCACCTCCAAACACGTGTAACACACTCAGCCCTGCCACCACCACCAACCACCCAACCAACCACCTCCAAACACGTGGAAGACACTCAGCCCTGCCACCACCACCAACCACCCACCACCTCCAAACACGTGGAACAAACTCAGCCCTACCACCACCACCACCAACCACCCTCCTCCTCCCACCACCTCCATTCCACTACGTTTCAGATCTTCTCCGAGTCGCGATTGTATTCTTGAATCGATTCCGGTGTTTTTTGATGATGGCATTGTTGTTGTGGGATAATTGAGTACAGAGGGACAATACTGTGTATACCGAGCGTAGCATGAGCAACATCTCATCTTGAGATCTCTTTAAGCGAAGCAGGCTTGAACCTGGATAGCGCTACTTGGGTTATTATTAAATGCTGCATATTGGCAGCAGAGAGCAGTGTGGTAAAAGCCATTTGTTGTACTGCATTGCAACCTCTATGCTCCTACGTCTATGCCCCTCCCGACCCCCACACAGCATGATGAAGTATGGCTAAACAACCACCCAAACGTACTTGCGGAAGCCCTCGATTAGATCAATTAATCGACGAATCGTCGCATGTCTGAGCAGGGGAAGCTGCTATAAAGTCGACTCTTCCCTCCTTGTTGACATGCCACGGGGGGTGGAGGAGGAGTTGTGACGAGAGACCACACATCAGTATTTCTGAAAGATTTTTGCTGTTTTTTTTTCCTGGCTTTTTCTGTTTGCGCATCAGTCACTTTAATGTCTTTTTGTTTGTTTGTTGCGGTTGCACCCGATTCAAGAAGCCGAATGGCTCACAGGGCTATACCGAATGAAACTGAAACCAGTATTAGAAGTCATCGTGATCCCCCCATCATCAGCAACAACAGAGAGCAAACGCAACCAATCTCACACGGTGCAAGAGACACGCACGCCAATCATTATAAGCAACGTAGACATTGCAACAACGCCACCACCACCACCAGGATTTCCACACCACCTCCAGCAGCAGCAGCAACAACTATAAACTACAGTACTGTACCACCAGCAGTCGTATTGCTAAAACCAGCAGCGTAACACAAACTCCAGTACAACCACGGCGCCAACTACGGACACAACCGTTGCCCACAGCTTCGTGCCAACATCATTACCAGTTACAGTATCAACAGCAGTACAATCACGCCTAACAACAGTATAAACACCCACTCTGGAACCACTACTGATAACAGAGCCATCGTTCCCAAGCAGGCAACCACTCCCACCAAGTGTGATTAGTAACAACAGAAGTGAACACTACCCAAATGGCAGTGCTTTGCCAACAGTATGACAAATACTGCATGGGTTACACCTGCAGGGCCAACAGCACAACCACCAAGCTTATGAACAATACCAACAGTGTAAGTAGTTATTAACGATAGGATAACCACTACCAAAGTGTCAATAACTGTATAACTACAGTACCAACAACAGCACAAACATTCCCAACAGTACTGTACAGTTACAGAATAACAGCAAAACTACAGTACCAACAATAACAATGCTACCGTACCAACAAAAGTGCCATACATAGCAACCACTCACAACAACAGCACAACCACTCACAACAACAGCACAATTAGTAACAGGGCAACTCCCAAAAGTATGACGAATAAAATGAAGTTCAACTCCAGCACGACCACCACGAACAGCCACAACCACGACCAACAGCCACTCCACCAACAGCACAACCACTCCACCAACAACCACGACGAACCACTCCACCAACAGCACAACCACTCCACCAACAACACAACCTCTCCACCAACAACCAAGACCAACAACCACTCAACCAACAACCACTCAACCAACAACACAACCACTCCTCCAACAGCACAACCATTCCACCAACAGCACAACCACTCCCCCAACAGCACAACCATTCCACCAACAGCACAACCACTCCCCCAACAGCACAACCATTCCACCAACAGCACAACCACGACCAACAACCACTCCACCAACAGCACAACCACTCCACCAACAGCACAACCACGACCAACAACCACTCCACCAACAGCACAACCACTCCACCAACAGCACAACCACGACCAACAACCACTCCACCAACAGCACAACCACGACCAACAACCACTCTACCAACAGCACAACCACGACCAACAACCACTCCACCAACAGCATAACCATTCCACCAACAGCACAACCACGACCAACAACCACTCCACCAACAGCACAACCACGACCAACAGCACAACCACGACCAACAACCACTCCTCCAACAGCACAACCACGACCAACAGCACAACCACGACCAACAACCACTCCTCCAACAGCACAACCACTCCACCAACAGCACAACCACCAACAGCACAACTACGAAGAACCACTCCACCAACAGCACAACCACCAACAGCACAACCACCCACAAGGAAAGTGCACAGCACCAATACTATATTATTGACTATTTCGGTAAAGTCACATAGAAGGGAAACAATAAAACAATAACAATATAAAACAATACAATACTGTAGCAAGGACGACTGTATGACCGCAGTACCAACAACGTTCGCACTCCCAACAACAGCCACCGACATCACAATCCGCAGCAGCGTTAACTTCTGTACCTACAACAACACCAACAACAGAGCAACAGCTCCCAACAAACTTAACACTATTACAATAACCACAACAAGCAACAAAAACAACCGCGCAACTCCAGTAACCACTCGCAACACACACACAACTACAACAATCACCAACAACAAGACACACAAACTAAAGTCACGACAACCACTGCCATCCCCTCCCCCCTTACTACAGTGCTTTAACCACAAGTTGCAAGCGGACAACCGCACAACTACAGCCACAACAACCAACTCACAACAAACTACTACAGTACTTTAACCACCACAGCAAAGGAGCAAAGCATCCGCACAGCTACAACAACACCGACCCAACCCCAACATTCGCATCATCATCAGCAACAGCAGCACGGGGAAGTGACGTTGGGGGGCGGGGGGGCTTTGCTATTAAACCCCCACCCCCCCCCTTACACACAGCCGTGTACAGTCGTGGCTGTACATTCACACACACACACCCACCACGACAACACCACCACGACGACTACGCAGATTGCTCGCGTGTAACACACCACACACGTTTCACACACCACACACACGTGTTACACAGCACACACACGTGTCACACACCACACACACGTGTTACCACACCACACACACGTGTGCACGAGCGGCGGTATTTGTAGCAGCAGTCCCGTCGGTGAACACGTCTGCGAGATACTGTACACGCACACACACAGACGATGAGAGTCGCCGACGCCACTTTTCACCGTCGTCTTTATCTTTAATTCCGGGCGACCATCGCTTCGTCACAAAGTCGGCTGGGATTTCAGGACACACGCTCGCAAACATCTGCCTGGTTGTTGTGCTGCAACCTCGCCACACACCACCCCCCCTCCCTCTCTCCACTCCACTCCTTCCACCGTGATAACAGAGAAGAAGATGTGGAGGCCGAGATGACTTACGTCTCGGCATCTCGTCGTCGTGTCTCTCCGCCACCGCAGCAGCTACCCCCAGCACGGTGGCCACCCTGCTCCGAGTCATGCGATTCGCCACGCCGCTGCTGGTGGCCGCACTGCTGGGCCTGGCCCTGTGGCACCTTCGCCTGGCGTGGGCCGGGACGAGCAGTGGCGGAGAAGACGGCGATGATGTTGACGATGACGATGGTGATGATGGTGATGATGATGTTCGTAAGCGCAGCTGTGGACGTGCTGGTTCGTCCGCGGGTATCGGCGGTGGCCGTCTGTACGGTTGGTCCCACGGTGGTGGCGGCGGCGGCGGCGACATCGGCGTCGGAGGTTCTTGGGATCCGTACGCTCACAAGTTCTCAACTTTTCCCGACCAGCTGAGGGTTCAGCTGCGAGAAGACGCTCGCCGCATGTTCTACGTGGGCTACGACAACTACATGAGCCACGCTTTCCCCGCCGACGAGCTCAACCCCATCGATTGTCGGGGTCGAGGACCCGACGTGGACAATCCGTGAGTCGATCCTCTCTCTCTCTCTCTCGCTCTCTCCCTCTTAAACTATTTAAAACTTTGTCAATGTTACCAGGTAAGGCGCACCGAGCTGTAATAAGTAGCGTCTTGTTCATAAGCGATTTGGCTAGGACAAATGATCGCTCGAACGAAGTGGAATTATCATCACGTGGAGAAATGTAATGTATATCGGCAGCCGAATTCTCGAAACGCGTGATGTTCATTTTTTAATGTGGAGGAGAAACATCCACGCGACCACGGGGAGAGCGAGACACGCAAACTCCAAATATGCAGCAGGCGTTAAGGTCGCTATAAAACCCACGACCTCCTGTGTACCAGACGAGGTAGTTAACATCTAGCCATCGTGATGAGAGAGACAACGCAAACTCCAAATATACAGCAGGCGTTAAGGTCGCTATAAAACCCACGACCTCCTGTGTACCAGGCGAGGTAGTTAACATCTCAGCCATCGTGATGATGAGAGAGACACGCAAACTCCACATATACAGCAGCAGGCGTCAGGATCGGGATCGTACCTACGACCTCCTGTGTACCAGGCGAGGTAGTTAACATCTCCTAGCCATCATGATGATGAGAGAGAGAGACAACGCAAACTCCACATATACACCAGGCGTCAGGGTCGGGATCGTACCCACGACCTCCTGTGTACCAGGCGAGGTAGTTCACATCTCCTAGCCACCGCGTGTGGCTTTGGAGAAGTTCAGAGAAGTTTTTTGGGAGGAATCTGTGATTGTCGTAAGGAGTGGTTGTTGCAAGTCTGATGTTCTTGTTCAACGGCAGCTCGGAATCAGAATATTGATATTGATATTGTCCTGGAGGAATCCGATGAGCCTATAAGGTTCGAGGGTTCCGAAATCTCAATCGAAAACGAACAGGGATTATCCGGAACGGATAACACGTTTCTTGAATAGTAGAGCAAGGTTTAAAGTAAATACTGTAACTGAAAATGAGGCGATGTTGGGAGATCATTCAGATGTGGAGCAGCGGTGGGTTGGAAGTAGAATGATGAACAGTGGGTGAGTGTTGTGATTCTGCAGTGTTGATGAGTGAGTGTGGTGGGGGGGGTTAATTGATGGTTAAACACGGTCATGCATAGTTGTAAACCCATACGATTTACCCTCTAGCATTCTTGTACAAGGAAATTGAGTTTTCAGGTCCATACGCCGTACAACCGTTTCAATAAAAAACATTTTTGTCTATTGTGTTTGTGTTTCTCCCTTGTGATGGGACTTTGTAGGATGAACGTTGAGATTTATAAGGGGCAAGGGGTGACCAATAAGGTCTGAATTTGGCCTGTAATGTAGGCACTTGTAAGAGGTTGACAGCTTTGGTTATGGGTGAGACGAAAAAGGCTGTGGTAGGCCCGAGTCCTCTAAATGGATGGATGTAGGAATTGTCAGAGCGAAATTCACGGAAATCAGTGACCGTGGTAGTAGCGATAGAAGAGATGATGGCACAGATGTCGTGAGCGTGATGGTGAGTTAGCTATGGATAGTCAATGATTGTCTTAACCATGGCCATTGTTCCATTAACTGTTAATGTCATGATTAACTATGAATTATCGTCAATTAATCTCTCATCATTACGTGTGAATCTTCATCATGTACCTATCAACTTTTGAATAATGTTTAACCGAGTTGTTAGTCATAATCTATTAACTCTTGAGTCGTAAATTGTTAACTTTGCTTCGTTAACCTTCCATGCATAATCATCACCTCGGTCCAGTATGAACAATACATCCCCTGTATGTCAATTATTAATATATGAATAATCGATTTGCTATGTTGTTTTGTGAACTAAAATCTATTCGTGATCAATAATCATGACCTTTGTAATGCAAAATTAACGATGTCACGTGTTGAATTGCAATACAACTACTGTAATGGTGCAGTTAAAACAATAACATTTTTTGAAGCAATACCTTTAAACAAAAAAAATAAAACCGTTTCAGTAAGTAGTTAAAACGCGACAAAACAGAATATCTGCAGTAAATACAGCACTTAACCCTCATGCACCGAAGTTGTAATGTCCTGCCTGCCTATCAGCAGCTGATCTCTTGGGGGGGAAACGGGCGTGACACAGTCTGAACACATCCACGGTACACTTGGAATAACCCACATCAACAATTCATTAATGCTTGATTAGAATGTCTTTTGAGTTGTTAATCATGGTGAGGAGGGTCCAATTGAATATATACATCGGTGTCACCGTGTCCCATTTAATAAAGTGAATGCCAATTCACACGCCTGGCTCTATGGAGGCAATTCATGAGCATCAACAAACAACTGGCCCTCTTGATTTTAAAACTACTTGGTTCCTACAACAACAATAACAACAACAACAACCTTGTTGTGTAATCAGAACCTGGAAGGCTTGAAGAACGTGGTGAATTCACTTGGGGGAATAATCTGGAGTCAGTAATGCAGTGTTGGGCACTGGAGTTGGTAGTTGGTGTAAAAGTTCGGGGAGATTAATCGATGAAGGCATTGGGTTTCTCGTGTAAGAATGTATTTATTTTAAATTAACGTATGTTTCGTGTGATAAGTGTTCAAGAAATCCCTGGCAGACACTAGAGGAGCTACCATTCACAACACTCTTAAATACTTTATCCAATTGATAATTTAATTGTATACGTGTCGTGTGGAGGAGGGTTCACGACACAATTTTTACACGACCTAATCCAAAATAAACCACTTGTGAATCTTGATAATTATAATGTAACGTTATTTCCTGTTCTAGTATTCAGACGCACTATATTGATGTAATACACACATGGATGGTACACAGGAATATCGGAATCTGTATTTATTCTGGACGAATCTGATGAGCTTAAGAAGCTCTTTATCACACATGTTCCATTAGGGGCGGGTCAGCAAGTTACATCAACACAAAATGAGTAAAGGATGCAAGAATAAGTTAGAGAAAAGTTAAACAAGTCGCTAAAATAAACATAAATAAACCTGAGTAAAGCATGGAAGTACAAATTGCAGTTTTTTAGTACGGTACACTCTTTGCAGATTTGTCAAGATCAAATGCAAGATTGGGCAAGGCAGCAAACAACAGAAATCCAAGACCACACCAAGACCATAACACACTCCCTCGATTACTTTGCAATTTAATACAATCACTGGAAAACAAATATTAAAGGGTTTTTCATAGAATGTTTATCTACTTTTTAATCTAATGTGTACAGTAAACCAAGAATTAACTTAATCATTTTATCCATTGATTTGGGATAGATTAGTGAAATTCCTGTAATGACTGGAGGAAGGAGGGTGTAAATGTGAAGACCACAGTATATTGTTCAATTAAACTCTGGAATCAGCCCTTTAATTCAACTGTCTCGTATTTTAATAGACTTTGAATACATTTAAGAACGTGTATGAGCATATAAGCAAGAACTCGGCCTCCTCATATACTGCACAACAACCAGGCACAATGAGTTGGTAAACAATGTTGCCTTTGAGGTGAACGGCGGGCCCCATCGTTTAGATGGAATGCCCTTGCCAACAGCTTCTTGGAACCTGGCCAAGACTTAACAAGCCAAGACTGCTGATGAGACCTAGAACGTCGAAGCGGGTGTAGAGTTTCCTTGCTTTTAAAACTATTGCTGCCGAGTAATATTGGTCCGGAAGGCCGATAGTCGAAATTGAACTCAAAGTATGTGTTTTTATTTATATGTGGAGACAGAACTGAGTTATCTGTATAAAGTAAATGTTTGTGCTTTGAAAAAAGTGTAATGTTCACAAGATGCCATTGGATTTATTTTAAACATCTACTGACAGCAGTGCCAGCACACCTTAAGACCTACAAAACTTGTATTGTTGAACTTGAGCCTGCCTTGTCATTATTTTCAGCAGAAAGTTATCCAACTCCACTTCCTTATATCAACCATCTAAGTACACGTTAGAATCCCGTTGACTTACTAGCAATAGTAGTAAACGAATAATAGTAACAATACACCACTAAAATAGGGTGATTTATCAACAGCAAAAGGCGTTACTTTGACCAGAGATAAGCACACAGGAGGGCGTGAGACACGAGTGACTAGTGTGGAGGGATCCACAGATGCGTTCGTTTCTCACAAATGAACTTCTCAAAGTCACTAACTTTCGCTGAACCCAACCTTGACTTGTGTGTCGTGAGTGGAGTCTGCGCGAGTCTTCCTTCCTTTGCACGTTGCGCTTGACGAGAGCTGGATGGAGGGAATGAGTGGAGTTTAGACGCTTTTTGGTTGGCTGGCAGATTCTTTTTTCAATCGTGGACATTTGGAAAATGGTCAATGAAATGTACTGTATTTTAATACAAAATATATAAATAAGCATTTGATTTGAATAACCACGGGGTGAATTGCTTCAAACAATAGGGAAATTAAATGAAACCAAATTTGAATGAACATTGCTTAGTTGGCAAAATATTTTACCGGGGTAATCCCATTTGCAAGGGTATCCAGTGTGTTATGAGACCTTTGCCAGAAACAAGATATAGGAATAGGATTTACCCTTTTAACTGGCACAAAAACTGACACCTTTATTCAAGGCATCATGTTTGGTTATTGCAAACATGATGCCTTGAATAAAGGTGTCAGTTTTTGTGCCAGTTAAAAGGGTAAAACCTATTCCGGTATCCAGTGTGTTATGTGACCTCTTAGGATAATCCAGAAGCAATTTGTCTAAACAAGAGGGGGCATGGTTTTTATCTTCATATGCTAACCATTTTTTTTTATACTTGCATACACACGTTTCATCTTAACTTGCATTGTACGTTAGTTTATTGAAGATGGGTTTTTATTCATTCCTATCGAACAGAACTTTTCGAATCAAAGTGAGTGTATTTAAATTCAGTTAAGTTTATCTCTCGGGTATGTTGGTAGTGTCAATTAAAAGTGGAATTGAATTTAATTAACGGGTGTATTATTTAATCACTTGGCTGTGTCAAGCTGCTTGGAGTAGTTTATTTTAGGTTTGGTGCAAGAGGACAAAGTTTTTATTTTTGTTACTTCCACCCCTTACGCCTAAGCTTTTCCATCTGTTAATAAGTATGAACTGTGGTTAGTGATACATTACTTTGTATTGATTGCTGGGTCATTATTTAACACCGGTTTCTCAAACCCCAGACCAGATGGCCCAGAACAGCGCACCTCTCGGCATCTACCAAATCTCCATTTAATTACCAAAAATAATAACCCATTACACGCTGCATGTACCTGATAGTTGGTTCAAACAAACACATTCTCTTGTTTACGTTTTTTTATACTGTAATAAACTGTTGATCTCTCATTGCCTTAAAAAAAACGTTATGCATGCGCTTCAGTGGTGCCTTGTGGCGCAGCATCGCTACAAAAAAAATCCTAAAACTGTGTCCAGTAGTTGTCTCTCGTTTTCACCTCGTCTTGTGAAAGCACGCGCACCGTTGCGCACACCTGGATTCTCTTATTGCTTTTACTGCTCGCAGATGACGGTGAGACGGTCACCGAGCTGTTCGTTTTTCGCCATTAAACGTTTGTGTTTGCTCTCCAGTTTAAGGTCCTGCCCTTCTAAACAAAACAAGCAAAGCATTTTGGGAAGGAGATATTGTTTTGTTGATTTTTGGCGTTCTGCTTATGCTTGTACTACTTTTGACCATTGTGTTACGAGTGTTGTGAGTTAGAATACACCGTTTTACAGGAGAACTGGGAAAGTCATATCGTGGAATTTGAGTGAATGTTGACTAATCTGGTCTGCCTACTTCCACTGCTGTATGAGAGAGGGCTTATTTGGTTGACGTGGCACGTAACCATTGGTGCCTATGGTCAGTAGCCAGTGGGGTCTTGTGAAGATTTGTTTTCAATATCTATAATATGCTTTGGAATGATCCCTTAAGTGTATCTCAGTTGTACTATCTATGTCATGTATTGAGGTGAAGTATCTATTCAAATCTCTGGCAGAGCAGTGCAGCAACCCTTTGTCAAAATTGCCTACACAACAAGGTGATATGACAAAGCTACCTCTGAGATTCCTTCGAGGGCCCTCAATTCCGTATAGTAGCTGGTAGCAAATTGCCACCCATCTTGCCACGTGAGTGTAATGTATCCCGCATGACAAACCAATATGTATCATTCTCAGAGCTGGCATTGCGCTAAATTAAGTTAGGAACCACATTTATTTGCGACAGTTTATTGTGCGGTCATCAGTGACCAAGCTGAGACCATTATCTCACGATATTTGAGAATCCAGTTTAATCACATGCAGCTGTTTGGATTAACTCCCCCCCCCACCCCCATCCCAGCGGTACCAGCTCAACACTCTGACCTCTGAGCCACCCAACTATCTCGAAGGCTAAATGAAGGTAGCAAGGGAAACAACATGTGGCTTGTTCCTCACCCCCCATCCTGTGGCCCATATTCACACATCCACAAAAGTGTGAGACATCGTGGGAGTGGCGGTGTACTAGCTCACACTTTGTTCTACAAACCTAGCTACGTGGGTTTAAATCACATACATGGCTAAAATAAGCGGCTGAGGTTATGAGAACCTGTTCTGGCTTCCCCTTAGGTTGACTCCACCTTAACTGAGTGAATGGTGCGGTGTGTAAGCATTGGCACTGGGGAAATAAAGGAGGCTTGACGTAGTGCTGGCCACACGACCTCCCATCCCCCTGGCTCCACACTGGTCCTCAAAGGTGCCCACTAAGAGCTCTTTCCCAAACAGCCTGTATGGCTGTATGAGAAATCTCCGTATGTGTTATATGACATCTGGTGGCTTTGTCGAGCTGATGGCTGCAGTGTTAATTTTGTAAATGAAGCTAATGACGAACATATTCGTCAGGAGTGTTTTTTATTTGATTGAACGATGACCATAAGTGGACGAACATCATGGCTTTATAATGACAATGACACTACTTTAACCCACCATAGACCAAAGTGCACCTGAGGCTGACAAGGTGAAATAAACTAGTCTTTGAATGAAGGTGCATCCGAAGATAATTTAGAAACATTTAGTCTGTATGCTCCAAGAAAGACCAAATATGGTGATTGACGAGAAATGTATAAGCATCTTTCCTGAGTTCACTGATTGGCTGACCTGATAATGTTGGGTTCGGGGAGGAAATTGTGCGTCCCTCATACCAACAGTTTATAACGAGGTGGACTAAAATTTTAACCGCTTTATTCGACTAGACTAAGTGAATGACTACATGAAATACACAGACGAAGACTTGACTACAATTCTACAGTTTGTCGACGACTTGACCGATAACTTTAACTTAAACAGAAAATGCCAGCTAAATTAACGCTAGATGACTCATCGCATATTATTACTGGAATCTCCTGGTTGCATGCTGTGGTCACACAGGAAAAGTGCTGGAATGGAATACTCAAAACCCACTTGGAAGCCGATGCTCTTTTTAGACTTCAGACTGAGCACAGGATTTCCCCGTTCACGCATTACATTTTGGATGGGTCCCGGGAGACTTGAAGCAATTTAAAACCGAACCGGTGTGCTCACACCCAGAGTGTGTTCTTGTCGAAGGCAGTTTATTCACACTCTTTGCACTGGATTTCCCCACAGGTCTATAATTTTGCACTGATAATTCTTCATTGCGCTAATGGCTTGTGGAGGAACAGGTTTATTTAGTAGACGTGGGTACAGGTAACAGCAGCCTTGGATGGTTGGATGCTGTGGCCCACGTAGTTACAACTGTATTATTAGCAAACGTCAGTGTGATCACGATGCTATTCGGAGTCAATAAACTATTGAACGAACTATTTTTATTTTACCAGGTCGGCCTCACTGAGTTATCTATATAGCTCTTTTTCATAAACGACCTGGCCAAAAATGATAGCTCAACGAAGTGGCTTATCATATGGAAATGTATTGCAGTCGAATACTCTGAATGCACTTCAAAAAAAAAAGCAGGCAAAGGCACTTCCCCATCCACACCAATGGAGTGCAGATAAAACCGGGCAAACTTGTTTCTTTTGAATTTGAAAACTTTACCCGAGGTGTCTCTTGTGTCACAGTGAGCAGCATGCAAATGCCATGCACCAATGCACAAGAATTCTATGAGCATGCTATGGTATTTATGCAATGTGGGTTTACATCCTATGGTTGTCTGTTACGCAAGCCAGAATGTATTCTTTAAAAAAAATGATCGTGTGGCTCAGAGGTCAGAGCACTGAGGTGGTAGCACGACTGAGAATCTGGGTTAAAATATGAGTTCCATCTATCCGTCATTATGAAACCGGTTTTGCAAGTGAAATGAATCTCAGCCCGGCCACCAATTACACACTTCGTTATGTGTTGCACTTATTTTGGTTTAGTTTCAACTTCGATTTGACTGTCATGTGATGAATTTCACACTCAGTGGTAGAGCAAATTGGAAAGTGTGGACATTACTTGAAGGGATCTCAGAGGTAGCTCGGTGCTATCCACTTCTGTGGGCTGTTCTTCAACACACAAGCGTTGCACCGCTCTTTGAGAGATACGATTGGAGTCTTCGTCTCATGAAATGACGCTGATAGCACAATCGTGATAAAATTGGGGGTCGGGGGATATGAAAAACAGCCCTGTTAACTCGACCACGTCTTGTGCCAGTGGTGGAAGTGACACAAACAACCACGTGTGTACGCATGGCAACACACACACATACCCACTTCCTCTGACGGCATTGCTGAATTGGCTGGGCTTTGCTAACCCCCCATGGCTGCACTTTTACTCTGCAAACAATCTGAGGGTGTAGTTTCGTGAAGCAACAAAATGTGATCGTTGTGCAACATCGGACATGCCAAAGCATGTTGTCTGACACTGCACCTGAATTAATAGTACCAAAAGTATCGCATATGCTTGAGCTTCTTGGAAGTGCGATGATTTACATTTTATAAATGTTTAATTATAATTCGAAGGAGATTGGAGCAAGCACATAATGTGTACATAACTAGAAGCACGATTCTTATCTGAGTCTGGGTTGACTTCGGTGCTTTGGGCTGCCTGTCCCTGTTCAAATACAGGCTTGAGATCTTCGTCTTCTCCGTTGTTCTTGACCGACTTTCACCCCAATCTACGAAACCATTGCAATTGCGTCTGCAACAATATGAATCACGTCCCTTTTTGTCTCCACGATGTGCACGTCCTCCTTTTTGCACAGTCCCGAGATCCAGTCGCATTTCGACATTCTGCAAGTTCAAAATGTATGCATGTTATAAACTTTTTTCGCACCGTATGTAGCCAACCGTGCTAATTGTGTTGCATTGTAAATTCATTGTCACTGATTGATCCAGATTACTTTCCCAGATTACCTCTCACCCGGTAAAATACAGGTAACTCAATGGATACGAAATAACAAGTACATTTCTCCACGTCGTTCTCTTCCCAGATCAAACATCAACATCAACGACGTCTTGGGAAACTATTCTCTTACGCTCATAGATGCTCTGGACACACTTGCGGTAAGTGCTTACTGCTTATCCAGTTATTTAAAAAAAAAAGAGTAGATTTATTTATTTAATGAAATAACATAAGCGGTTGGTGAGCATTTGGCATTTTGTTAAAGTGTAACTGGAGTGGCAGTGCCCGGTGGTGACCAAATAACAAGTCATAGTTATGCTCACAAAATATGTATGGAGTCGTGCATGTGGCAATCGTTTGTTTAAAAAAACATATATGTAAATTATATGCAAAGTATATGCAAATGTGAATATTTAGGCTCATGGCATAAACAAAACTGAACAAAAGTAACAGCAAAACCGAGCATAAAAATGAGATGGTAAATATGATATCACAAAGAGTGTATTCATAAATCGAGTCGTCAATCCACATTGAGACAAATCATCAAGTTGTTAGGGTGGTTAATCGCTTGCCTATGTAGTAGTTTACATGGGGCCACATTTTCTGAATATGGCTATGTTGTCCTTGAAATATTTTGAGATGGTGATCTGGATAAGGCTTGAGAGCTTTTGTACATGCAGTGGTTTGTAAAAACCTAGTTCCCAGTATGCATAATTGTTTCTCTCTTGATGGGTTCTGTCGTCATTTATAGATATTGAATTGTTGTTGCCTTTAGACAAGTGCTAATAAGGTCCCCGTAGCATAAAGGTAGTTTCCTCGTCATATATAGGGCTCCCAGAAGCACATGGCAGAAATTAACATTGATGACTGAACTGATGAGTTTTAATGAAGATGCCTTTGAGTTTGCGAATCGCGTATTTGCCGATTGTGGCTATTTTCAAGAACGTAACTCCTGCAATGGCCAAGGTTTTCGTGTATTCTAAACTTTGCCCTCTGATTGGCTACAGGCTAGGCGTAATAACCTTTCAATATATAAAATTAAACGTGCATAAATACATCAACAATAATTACAAGATAATACTTGTGGTACACAAGATTGTTCAGCAGGGGAGTGGAACCCTGTACTATATTGTGTATTTACAAGTCAAAAAGTTCCCTGTAATAAAAAAATACCCCCGTAGGTTCATAATTTGAAATTTAATTCAAAACATTTGTAATCGTCAAATCATTCAAACAGTCCAGGCAGCGGTGGCACAGTGGTTATTGCACCGTTCTATAAACCTGGCAGTTTGACTCCACAGTCACGAAAGCTCCAAATAAATTTTCTGGCAGTTTGAGTTTGATTTCCGGGCAAGTTATATCTGGAAGGGTCTTGCCCCCCCCATCCCCCGCTTCACCAACCCACACTGACCAGCTTGGTGATGTATGGTCCAACAACCACCATGGACAGACACGTCTTGTGGAGGTCCTTCATCCCGCAATTCATTGACAAAGGGCTTGGAATTACACTGAGGGACAGAAAAAGGAATGCATGCATCAGGAAGCAAACACAAAATCGGTGACATAATTTCGACAATTAAGATACGTAAATGGGCTTGGGCAGGACACGTCGCTATATGGGATTATGGCCGATGGACAAGACTGGTGACGGAATGACAACTAAAGAAGAGGATGCGACCAAGTATACGACCACTGCGGAGATGGAGCAATGAGGTCAGTTCATGTGCAGGAGTGAGGTGGAGGACGGCGGCACTGAACCATAAAAATATAGCAACGGTGTGGGGACGCCTTTTATCCAGCAGTGAATAGACAATGGCCTGACCATTTTGCAAGCATGCATGCATGCAATACAGATAATGAATGGATGGTGCAACACTGTTCTCTCTCGTTTGGTCCCTGAGTTGGCACGTGACCAAAATGACGCAAATGTTAATCTCTTGATCAGGCTTTGAAGGATGTTCTATGAGAAATGGGGCCAGTGTTTAGTCCCGTTAGTGTGGTGGCTAGTCTCATTTAGACTGACCAAAATATATTTTTTGCGTATTGTGAGATATTTGTTTTATAGTTCGCGACATACATGCATACATGGGATCAGTTCAGTGTAATTATAGTTACGAAAAAAAAATTCCCAGTGGGACTAGTTCAGTGTGCCGTGGGATTCTTCTTTAATCTCTGTCCCATTTAATTTTGACATCTCATAAAAAACACACTTTCCCACTTCGAAATTGTGCACTCGTCACAGCTGGGATGGAATGCTGGCATTGCAGAACGATTTGGTGTTCCATCAACGAAGGTAATTCGACGGCTCCATCTATTGGAATGGGGTCTTGTGGTTCTGTGGCATCGGCGTGGCTATCAAGTGTGGTGGTGCCACTGCCCGCCCAGGTCTCTTCGTGCTGGAGTTGCACAGGCGCCGAACCATGCGAAGAGGAGGGAAATTGGAGAGGGGGCTCCATTTCACTTCTTGCACCGGGGCCTTTTGCCGTTCCATGGCATGATTATGTATGTACTGCCTACTTCTAATGTAGGTGATGGGGAATGCCTCGGAGTTTCAACGGGCGGTGCGGCTCGTGATGGAGACAATCTCATTTGACCAGGACTCCACTGTGCAGGTCTTCGAGGCTACCATACGGTGAGTGACAGTGCCCCTAATTATCATCGTTGTCCATAATCAATCCAATGCAGGCTGAAGGCTTCCCCAAGCCGTCGCCATCGCTTGCGATCCTACACGCCAGCTGATATCGTCGCTCCGTCTCCACGGTGGACATCCTCTCGGGCTTGTTCCGCCACTTAGTCGTTAGTTTCGAGCAACCGCCATCATCCCCCCTTCCAGCGAAGTGTCCTGCCCAAGCCCACTTACTTGTAAATATCCATGTCATTCATTATTATGAATGTTAACCATTCATTTTTACTCATCATGGTATCCAGTGGATATGTGTTGATTCGTACCAACCCCAAAACCACCCCGCCCACCCCCCACCCCCGCCCCCCCCCCGACAGCAATGAATGAATTGTCAAAGAATCAGAATAAGAATATATATTTATACTGGAGGAATACTATGAAATATAAAGCTCTCTTTTTCACGGATGTCCAGCAGTGTATTGACAAAACGGCGATGCACATACACAATGTGACGATAATACACATTTTGAGCATTTTGGTTTATTTCTCTGTGCTCATGCTGCTGCACACGCTTGTCCGGGCGCGTGCAGGGTGCTGGGCTCGCTGTTGTCAGCACACCTCATCATCACGGACACGGCACAGCCGTTTGGCGACATGGCGCTGCCGGACTACGAGGACGAGCTGCTGCACATGGCGCACGAGCTGGCGAGCCGCCTGCTGCCCGCCTTCGAGAACACGAACACGGGCATCCCCTACCCGCGGGTGAGGGATGTAGGCTCCGGGCGTGCGAGAGTGTGCGAGTGCTGCAAGAAAATGTTTCGTCCTCGTCGAATAACACTGCGTTGCCTTGAAGGAAAACGTGTGTGTAGTAAGGCGACATTTCGGCCAATAGCTACTATGGAAGAAGGGCCTTGGCCCGACACGTCGCCTGTTGTGTTTTCCTTTCAAGGCTGCAGTGTTGTTGACGAATGCGCTACATGCTGTTGTCGACGCTTGTGCACCTCTGCCAACGCGGCAGTATCACCAAATAATGTTTTATTCTCGGAGGTGATCTGTCATATACAGTTTGAAAAACCCTGTTATGTCCAACCTATAACAGACCATGATCCAAAAAGTACGCATGAGCAAATAGCCAAGTGTGTATATATATAAAAAGGTGTATGTATTGACAGTTTTGGTTACAGCACGGGAGACATTCATTATTCTTTGCTACTATGATAGTATGGTTCCGCGTGATGCCTCATCGATTGAGCCACATGTGGCGGATTAAAGAGCCGCATGCGGCTCAGGAGACGCCAGTTGGCCACCGCTGGCCGGCTGCTAACTTGAAACTTGTTTCCGTCTCGTCCACGCCCTGCTCCCCGCACCAGGTGAACCTGCGTCGCGGCGTTCCGCTCGACGTGTCGGAGGAGACGTGCACGGCGGGCGCCGGCTCGCTGCTCGTCGAGTTCGGGGTGCTCAGCCGCCTGCTGGGCGACCCCACGTACGAGGGGGCGGCGCGCAGGGCCGTGCGCTCCCTCTGGGCGCTGCGCTGCAACACCACCGGCCTGCTCGGTGAGACGACGGCGACGGCTCCCGAAGCCGCTGTGGCGCGCAGCAGATGGGCACTTGCGCGTTGGTCCTGAACCGAGCAGGAGCATGCAATCTTATGTTTAAAGGTGCATGTATGTTTGTACGTTGGACTTCTTCGGCACCGTACGTAGCCACCCGCGCTAAGCGGAGGTGCTTATAGGAACTTGGGAAAAGAGACGGTGGAAGGAATACTACTGTGTTGTGCCGTACAGCTGTCCGTTGTGTTTTTGGGTTGTCCCGCGTGATGTTCAGTACGGTGTACGACTTCTCGCCTACACGACCTGAGATCTCCATCAGGAAATTAATATAGCATTGACTGCTGCTGTTGTTTGCGGGTTCTTAATGCTGATCGGCTTAGCTTTGGCCATTGTTTTGTTGATGAGCTGGACGTCCTCTGCGGCGTGCTTTCTTTTGGCTGCCACTCCTTTATTAGTCTTGACTACTGGCCGTCTTTCCGTCGAGCGATGTGTCTTACCGAAGCCAACTTTTCTGTCCACTACAGAGATAGAGCCATGAAATCGATTTGTGTGGAGGGTGCTTGGTGGATTGTTAAATCGCTTCAACATGAGAGATGGCTTCGGGAGGCTTTCATCCAGCAGTGGAACGATCATGGCTGATGATGGCGATGATCGTCATGCCCCAAGTTAGAGACATCGTATTAATTGTGTAGAAAAGTAAGTGGGCTTTGGCAGGACACTGCAAGAGAAGGGAGGGAGAATGTTTGTTTAAACTGTTAAGGATAACATCATTGTTGCGTTTGAACAAACCATTGAATTGTGTGCATGTGTGTTGGTCGGGCTGGCAGGGAATGTGATCAACGTGCAGAGTGGGCAGTGGGTTGGCAGCCAGAGTGGACTCGGCGCGGGGCTGGACTCCTTCTACGAGTACCTCCTCAAGTCCCACGTCCTGTTTGGAGAGGACGAGGACCTGCACATGTTCAACGCCATCTATGCCAGCATCCAAACGCACCTCCGCAAGGGGTAATCATCGCCTTTTCCTCCCCGCACACCAAACACCCGAGACGCCCCCCACTGGCACTGATCATTGACTTTTAACTAGCTCCGTATATGCGTGTGTTTGTGCACGCGTGTTGGCACAGTAGGGGGCACAGGTGATGCATCGGCAACTTATCTGAGTCAGTCGACCCATGGCACCTGTGTCTGCCCGTTACCTCCTGCCAGCGGACGTTCGACACTTAACGTGGCCTCAACGTGCAACAACAACAACCGCCATTCGCCACTAAGTGGCGGTGATGTCACCACGACGCTTGTGCCAGGCTATGTGCACGTTGAGGCCACCTGAAGTGTCGAACGCCTGCTGGCAGGAGGTCACGGGGCAGACCCAGGTGCCACGGGTCGACTGAACGTGCACATAGCTTGGCACAAGCGCCGTGGTGACATTGCCGCCACTGAGTGGCGAATGGCGGTTGTTGTTGTGCGCGTGTGTATTCGCGTGTGTGCGCACATCATGGGTGCTCGCTAACAACACTTGCCCCAACAGTCTGTTAAGGCTATACGGGGGATCTTTGTCTTTGTGTGTGTGCGTGCGCACGTAGACGACGAGAGTGCAACTCCGGTCATGGGGAGCCACCGCTCTACGTCAACGTGAACATGTGCAGCGGCCGCATCATCAACACCTGGATCGACTCTCTGCAGGCCTTCTTCCCGGGCCTTCAGGTTCGTGAGAACTCAGTGTGGATTCATATTCCTCTTCTGGGCATTATTCACACGAATGTTGGCTCTGCTTTCCTTTTCGTTATCCATTCATTTCTTTCCTGGGCCGGCATCTCCACGTCCACACTGCACCCCATTATACCCTGGTTCACCTCGTTGAGGCACCTCATTCTCGTTGATCTACCTCCCTGTCTCCACCATTGTGCTTCCATGTTTATCACCTTTCGTCTTCTGATGTGATTTTCCTCTCTTCTTACAACACCTCCGATTAGCAAGGTTGGCTGTGTACGGTGCGAAAGAAGTTCAATATACACATACATGTCAGAGCCGTTTTGGTCAACTCTATTAAATCGTTTCTTTATTTCTGACCCGACCACTCATTCTGATCCCTGAGATCCATCTCCATCATCCTTGTTTCTTTGGTGCATATCATCTGCTCCTCCATGCTTTTTAGAGTCCTAGCATTCAAACCCACATGTCAATACTGGTCTTATTACGGTCATATACTTTCCCCTTTTAACCATGTCCGATTCTTCCTGTATCACATCACTTCACTGATTTATCTCCATTTCAGGCAAGCCTTTTGGGGTTTTATTTATTTATTTTGCCCTAGGTACTTGAACTCTTCGGCATTCTCTCTACCAATAACCAGACTCGCACAACACATGTTACCACTAGAAACAAGCGGAGATGTACTTTTATTTATACATGAGACAATAAATAGGAAAGCCAGTCTTAATCCCAAGAAAATAGGAATATCTTGAGGGCTATACTTGTACAGGGCCAGCAAGTCGCCAGAAAGGATGGCCTGGGAGGAGGGAGTTCCAGGAAATGGGAGGGGAGAGTATGTGAATGGGTGTAGTACATATGTAGGCATGTATGTTGAACTCATTGCGCATTGTACCTAGCCAACCATGCTAATCGGAGGTGTGGGGTGTGAGATGAGCGGGGAGAGGTAGGCAGAGGCGGGTCCACAGAGAATCTCGAATATGGTGAGCGTTATCTTGTCGTCGACACGGAAGTGGATTGGGAACCAGTGGCAATATCTGAGGATTTGGGTGATGTGGTCTCACTTGTGGGTGTGTTGTATAGGAGCCGTGCCTACCCGCTTGTATGCTCGCCTACTCGCCCGCCCATTCGCATGCCCGCTTACTCGCCCGCCCACCTACAAAATCCCTCCACCCAAGACGTTTTGTTGTTTTCAGTGGGGGAAACCTTGCCCCTTGTACCGTGAATGGTTTCGCTTTTGCAGTGGACGATGTCGCGCACAAGGTCTGGGCTCCCTCAGATTTCAATTGACAACTCTCAGCAGTAGATGGCACTCAATGCACGAGTGCTCGATGTAAAATAATCTCTTTGGCAGAAGCAGCTGGCGCACGGCTCTGTTGCTTTTAAACAACGTTTAGTAAAAGTGATTTTTTTTCTTCAAATTTCTCATCCTCTTGTTTAAATATTTACGGTTCCAGCGGGAGTCCAAGAGGCAATCCGTTAGTTTTTGAATGGCTCTTGTTTGCGTCTCTGTAATCATTTGAATAATTATTAAATATTAAACACAGAGTGTTATTGTTAATGTTATGCTCATAAGCTTAAGGGCACGAATGACTGTAGTTAGAGACCCTGCAGTTTAAGAGAAACTTCACGTTGACAGCCACAACCTCCACATCTCTTGTCACGGACTCGTTTTTCCATCACTGTTTGAAAATTGCCCCAAAGTCCTATCCACGTCAACTATTACACCGCTATAATCTAGGTTCTTTGGGTTAGATCACGTAAATATATAAATGTGTCGTGAAATCCACCACCACCCGACACAGCCAATTAGTAAGGTTTGTCACGTAATCAAAACATGCCAATTAGTTGTTTAGCACACCGGTGTGTTGGGTGGTGGCGTGTTTAACGACACATTTATATTTACGACACATATTTACGCGATGTAACTCAAAAAACCTCTTGTGGATAATATTGGTCGCGAAAAGCTACTACGTGTTCAACTATGAAACCTCTATTATTAAACCTGTTAGTTTAAATGCATAATTTCAAGCGGGAGCATTCCACATATACTGAATATTAGAAAAAAATTACATTGATTACTAAGAGTTAAATAACGTTATATGGTATATTTACTGTTTCGATAAAGGTATTTAAAATTGTGATAATAACAATTTCAACAGGAAGGACCCTAAGAGCTGTTAGGCTTTCTTTCATTTGCATCCTGTGATAGTACAGATGTTGTACAATACAGATCTTAGTTACAATCGCGATTTTTATATCTTCATACAAACAGCAAGTATCAGGACATGTATCTTAAGATTACACGAAAACAAACACCAGGTTGACTTTTGAACAAATTAGAGAGGTTGCCAAATAGTGGCTGGAATTTGACACGAAACATTTCTAAATGAGGTATGACTCTAAAGCACCTACATTCATGTTGTCCGAACATTGCATCCTATCTTCCACTACCGTGAGGCAATAGTTTTGAAATGTAAAAGAGACGCAGTATGGTTCCGTTTGCAAGGAGCTTCATTGTACAAAGGACAGTTTTGAGCCAAGCGTTTGTGCATGTATGTGTGCGTCCGTGTATTTCCGTGCGAGTTTGTGCGTGCATGTATGCCTGTGCGTGCGTGTCCGTGCGTGCTCGTGTACATGCGCACACGTGTGTACCTGTGCTTGCGTGTGTGTTGCGCGCCTGTGCGTGCGTGTATATATGTACGTTGTGGGGAGCGATAGTGTAGCGGTTAGCGCGCTGCGCTATGAACCTGGCGACTCGGGTTCGATTCCCGCTCACGGCCAAGACCAGTGACGATAATCCGAACCGGTCCCGGGCCTCCCCTAGGTCGACTCAGCCTCAAATGAGTACCTGGTGCGGTGTGTAAACATTGCCACTCGGGAGACAAAGGCGGTCGGGCGTGGTGCTGGCCACCCACCCCCTCGTGTACCGTTCCGGCCTTCATAGGTGCTCGCTAACAGCACTTGCCCCTACAGTCTGTTAAGGCTATACGGGGGATCTTTGATCTTTGATATGTACGTATGTTGAACTTTTTTCGCACGGTACGTAGCCAACCGTGCTCATTGGGAGGTGTGTGTTTGTGCCCAGGTGCTGGCCGGGGACGTGGAGGAGGCGATCTGTCTACATGCGTTCTACTACGCCATCTGGCAGCGCTTCGAGGCTCTTCCCGAGCGCTACAACTGGCAGCTCAAGGCACCCGATGTCCACTTCTACCCCCTGCGGCCCGAGCTGGTGGAGTCAACTTACCTCCTGTATCAGGTGGCCAGCCTCTGCTTTTGTTCGCTGTCATTTTTCTCATGGCTCTCCCTGCTCTATTGCCAGTAGTTAAACGTTGGCTGTGGTATAGATACACAAACCGAAAATAATCATCATTATTCGTGAACGATCCACTGCTCAATCAAGGCTTTCCCTAAGCTCTATCCATCTCTCGGGGTCTTGCGATGTAACGATCCACCTCACACGAACCACGAGCTGATCAAAAGTGGATAATATATATAAAACTAAGGTGTACAATCCTTTATCAATCCACTGCTGGATGAGAGCCTGTCCACGATGTGTCGATGATGGGGGTTGTTTGACCATGCTTTACCACGCTGGTTAGTTTGGGTTAGTGAAGGTGAAGGGCCTTGGACTGGTTCAGATTTAATTCACCGCTGATGTTAGCCGTGGCCCGGAATCAAACTCAGGTCGCCGGGTTCATAGCGCCCATCGCTCCAAGCTGATAATATGGAAAGAAAAATATAATAAAATAAATTAATATTGTGCCTTCCACTACCATCGCTGACTTTTAATTTGAAAAGTATGTTGCAAGCTAACAGAGTGGTTAGCGCTCTGCTCTGCACTGCACTATAAACCCGGTGACCTTAGGTTTGATTCCTTGCCACGGCTAATGTCAGTGATGATGAGCCCGCACTGACCAGCCTGGTGAAGTACGGTCAAACAATCCCCTATGACTGACACGGCTTGGAGAGGCCCTCATCCAGGAGGAGATTATCATGGAGCTGTATCACTTATGGTAATTAGTGCTGCTTCAGATCAGATATCGAGAAGCAGGATTTGCAGTTGTTTGCATGCGGGTACATTTATTGCACAGCGTGAGCTTGCTACGCATTTGTGTCATGGTTTACGATGCAGGTCCACCCACGCTTTGCCATACTTGTCCATGTGATGTGTGAAGTGAAAAACTGCTGAAACTCAAGTCATGAAGTTAGAATTGATGAGTGAAATAACTTTGTTTTAGTTTGATAGTCAATTCTTGGTATTCTCATTGTATTTTTAGGCCACAAAGAACCCGTTTTACCTGCACGTCGGCCAAAAAATTCTGCAGAGCATCGAGAAGCACACAAGAGTGAGGTAAACTGGCCAGCCCACCGGTGCATTGTCTACAAAAGTTGTGCGAAAAGGAATATTGGCCAACGCGTGAATTGCCCCCCCCCCCCCCCCCCCCCCCCCCCCCCCAGCATCGAGGGGTCCCTAAGCGGTGCGCGAGGAGGGGAGGGGGTGGCACGCCGTGTCCGCTTGCTTGCGTCAACATCAAGAAATCTCTCTTATCATGCCTCGCATGTGTCACCTGACCTCACCATGCTGTGTGTATAATGCACACAGCCTTGTTTTACACTGCCAACTCAAAATTCGTGGGCATTTCATTCCAGACAGCAGCATGACAATGAGACAACTGTATACAGGCCTTCGTCCTTGATGGGAATCATCAGTGCAGTATAGCCATCCTCGTTTACTGCTGCCTAAAACCTCAGGGGCTTTAGGTAGACAAACCTATTCCTGATCACTAGCAAAGATGAAACCAGTATACAGTTATATTCTTAGCTCTTTCGGTAAAGTCACGTTGAAGGGAAACAATAAAATATCTATAAAACAATAAAAATTCTCACGACGTTTCGACCATACCACAAACGGTCATCATCAGGTGTGAAAAACACAACGTGACTTTACCGAAAGAGCTAATAATATGAATTACTGCAGTCACGAAAACTTTAAATCAAAATTCAGTATACAGTTGTTTCATTGGCCTGCTACCGTGTACAATAACATTTCCACCAATATGATTTTTGTTGAGTTGGTAGTCTAAAACAAGGCTGGTTTGCATTACACACGCAGTGAGGTGATGCTGTGTGGTGTGCATGGCACGATGAGATGGCTGAACTTAACGGTCACAATCGGATACTTTTTATGGCTATAAATATATTTTTTCTGTGTTATCCTTGTTGTTTCCAGCCTGCACTCACCTAACTGCCAAACTGGTTTTTCATAATTTTACGGAAAGCCGATGGAATTGGCTGAGCCATCTCCCCATCTCCCCCCCCCCCCCCCCGGGCGGACGCAGGTGCGGCTACGCGACGCTCCACCACGTCATCGACAAGTCCAAGGAGGACCGCATGGAGAGCTTCTTCCTGAGCGAAACCTGCAAGTACCTCTTCCTGGTACGCTGCCTCTGTGTGTGTACCCTTCACTGGCGCGGTCATCGGGAAGTGTTGCTACTGATGCGGCGGACCCTGTCTATCTTATCAATTCACAGCTTATACATGGGCATCGGTGAAATAGCGGGACAATGAATACATGTATTATTATACTGCTTGTTTACCCCTGAGCCTCATTTAACCTCATGACCGTTTTTTACGGAAGTTTCCTGCCACGTTTGTTTCCAGCACGGGGCAATATTGCTATGTTTTTTAATCCCCATTGAGTAATATGCAGGTTATTTTTTCAGAATTGGAATGTTGGTCCAATGCCTGGTTACATTGCATGTAGTTTTTTTTCATCTGGGAGGAAACTGGACAACCCGGAGGAAATTGGTGCAGAATGGGGGGAGAAAACATACAAATTCCACGCAGAAAGTTGGTGCCTGAGTTGGCAATCAAACCCCAGACCCTTCTTCCTGTGAGGCACCAGGCTTGGAATACGTTTGCCGACAACAACACGTTTGGGCTCGTCATCCGTTCCTTTAACAAGTTAGGAAAAACCTTGCAATCATGTGGATTAAGTAACACTTTCCAACATGCATGTCTGCTACAGTATTTAAGTAGTGGAGTTGAAACTGCAGGGGGTTGGGGGGTGGGTAGCTGTCAGGGAAACACATTTGCTCTGGTTTGTGTCTGCAAGCTTTGGGCAACACTTTCATTACTTTTGCCAGTTTTCAAAAGTGTGACATTTTCCTAAATAACAACACAAATCTATTCTACAGAGAACTACAATGAACCCTGCATTACATCTCACCAAAGGACTATTGATTTGAGACTCGCAAATGGCAGTGAGGTGGTGGTTACCACGCTGTTAATTCTCATTATTAAGCATTTTACCTGCTCTGCAGGCTAGACCATGCCCCCTAAAAAGACAAACCTCTAGTTTGAAAATGTACTGATTTTTAGGAGCTGCTCATTCCTGTACAACTTCCAGTTATGAGCATAGTAACGAAAAAAATGGCATTCTGAAAATCAATAGCGGTATACCGATGATGTGGGTAGCACACTGTGCTATGAACTTGGCAACTTGAGTTTAATTCCCGGCCATAGCTAAGATCAGTCACGAGTGATATCTGAACCGGTTCCGGGCCGCCCCTTCACCCACATGCACTGACCAGCATGGTAAAGTATGGTCAAGCAACCCCCATGGCTGACACAGCGTGCAGAGACCATCATCCATCAGCGAGATGACAAACGTTCTGTAAACATTTTTAACATGATTATTTATAACGATGATGACGATGCTGAATCTCCCACACTGCCCTTGGCTGCCCCAGCCCCGATCCACTCCTGGTGCTCTCACGGCGCGTGTTTGATGACACGCGTGCGCCGTCGCAAGCGAGCGCACACGCTATCGCTGACGAGCGCACACTCGCGTTGCCGCCACAGCTTTTCGACATTGAGAACCCCGTGCACGTGGGCGGCCGCGCATTCATCTTCACCACCGAGGGACACCTGCTGCCCGTCGGCCGCCAACTGCGCAGGAAAACGCTCGCCGGTGGCAGTGGCGCCAATGGCGTCGCGGGGAGGGCCCAAGGAGCCTCGGGTGGGAGTGAAAGTGGCGACGCAGGGGACGCCTCCGCCGTCTGGCAAAGCCAACAATCCTGGACGACGACGACGGAGCTGCCTGGCGCTGCCCTCAACTCCAGCGTGAGTGCCTCCCGTCTCGGTTGCGCCATTTCGTCGTGTAGATCGGCGACCGTGGGCACGGTCGGTTCTAAAGCCTCGCTGAGCGTTTCTCAGCTCCACTCATCGTGACCCCATCATGGTACAGATGGCTGTGATTACCGATCATCGTGTGCTAATGCAGTGTCGGTGGCTTAATTTGCATAGGATAACAAAAAAAATTGGCAACCGCAATTAAAAGCGTGACGTGGATGGGGAGAGGAGTCAAGAGGAACTGCTGTTGAGATACGCTGACCTTGAGGCCAGTAGGCATGCGATGATGCAATCGCTCATCGGATAAAAATGGATTCCTATGCTCGTAAATCCTTGCGGTGAATTGTACATAAGAATCCCTAATACTGGTAGGAACCTCCTGGTTACACCAGCCCACAGGGGATTATTGTGTCCGTCCGTCGTACGTCCAAAATTGGGAGGGGTGGGGCTGGGTGGAGAGGGGAGGGTGGGGAGGGAGGGGCTGGGTGGGGAGGGGCTGGGTGGGGAGGGGCTGGGTGGGGAGGGTGGGGCTGGGTGGGGGGTGGGAGGGGTGGGGCTGGGTGGGGAGGGTGGGGCTGGGTGGGGAGGGGCTGGTCACCCCGTGGTGCCCTTATAAAACTCAACGTTTAACCTACTCACGCCGGCTTATGCCCGCCCTCACAGTCGGTCATATTTGCGGAATACACCATGCCGCCGTTGGCCCTGGCCATTGACTGAGCAACCCAACGTTCCTACCAGCTCCTTCCGCAGGAATGTGTTTTTCGAGTCAAGTGTGCCGTGTGTAATGTGTGCGCATGACCCCCGCAGCCACTAGAGGTGCTTAATTTCACTGCCGTTAAAAAAAAAATGTTTTCTTGACAAAAGCCCTGTGAAGCGGCACTTCCGCGGGCTGTTCTCTGATTACGCAGAGGCACAACACTCTTGAGATTTCCAAAAATGGATTATTCATCTCGTGATGTGATGATGCCGATAGAAGGACTGCAATGCATGGTTTAGCAAAAATAATTTAATGGTCACTGAGGCTTTGATGGGGAGGCTCGTAGCCAAAGCAAAGGAACTCTTGCTGAATTTTACTGCACTCGCAACGGCAAAAAGTCCCCGCTATTATTTTCATTGGAATTTAATATGTTTGTGCTCCTGGGCGATGCTGACTCGGAGAAATAGAACGCCAGCCTCGTGCGGATGATTTACAGAGGGGGCGAGCACAAAGCGTGCACCGCTGCCGCCGATAATCGTATCGGCATCGGAGGATTTACATTGACGCGGCTCAAATAAGGAGTCGTTTGTTTCACAGTGAGTGTGTAATTATCGTGCCGAAACCTACAGAGGGAACCTTAATCAAGATGCGGCAATCATTTGCCTAACGTGAAAATGCCGTGAATGTAAAGTAGAGAAATGTAGGAAGTAATTCGATGACGTTGCGTGCCCTCGCTAGTGTTTTGTTATTTACACGGTCCGGTTCGATGTCGATCGTACAGATACCAGAAAAATAATGACTCCTCGATACATTTGCATTTAATGTTTTTTTTAATGTTGTGTTTAAAAATACGATTATTTAGAATTGATGCAAATTGTATGCTTATATTTGAGAGCCGTGGTGCAGTGGTTGTACACTGGGCTATGAACTTGGCAACCCGAGGTTGATGCCAGGTGACGGCTAACATAAGTGGCGGGTGATATATGAATAAGGTCCTAGGCGCACTGCCCTTTACTAATCCACACTGACCAGTCCCCCTATGGCTGGCATGGCATGGGAAGGCCTTCATGTAGCAGTGGATTGATATGGAGGCTTGAAATAATGTATATTTTAAATGACATTTAGAGGACAAAACTGTGCCAACAAGACAAAAGTTGAATTAGTTTTCCTAAATTATCACATTTTATTGTGACCCCTGAAGCATGCAGGGGTGTGTTTCATTACATGCCTACCAGATTACAATGCATCCCGACGCCAGTCAAGATTTAAGTGATGATAATAATATTAACAAGGTAGTAGAAGGAGACAAGAGCGATCTAAATGCCTGCTCACACCGAATTAGCAAACACGACAGTAAACTCTGTCCTGTGCAAGGGACAGTGGAAACCATTTGAAAATGAAATTACACCGACCCACCTTCGCGTGTCTTTGAAGTCCCACTCGTGCTTTTAATCACCGGAAAGAACGAGGGCGTTCATATCAGGGTGGTCACATTTAAAAATAGAAAAACTATTGGGAGGATGCAGATATTTTCAATTTCCCCATCTCAAAGAATTGTTTTGACAATCCACGGCGTACGCTTTGAACAGAGCGATGATCAAAGAAATTGCCACCGCTGCGATGATTGGGCCATTTCTTGACTTTCCCAGTGACTTAATGTTCTTAAAGGAATAAGATGTAGGTTCAACCCTGCAACTACTTGCTTACACCAACTGCTGGCAGAAGGGCCTCAACTAGAAGGGACATTTTTAGTGCCAGAAGTCCTGTAAGGTATCGGATGCACCCACACTTTACCCCACCACATGCAACCTGGAGATTCACTTAACTGTGGTGCTGCTGGGTGGACAGAGGCAGAAGGGGGGGAGGGGGGATTTAGAAACGTGCATCTAGTTACAGCTGCCGCACTGGGAGTTCGGACTGGCGACCTTTGCATTGCAAGCTCATTGCGCTAACGACATGGCCGTAGGATAAACAGGGTTTAATTTTGACTTAGTTTTCGTGACTGCAGGAATTCATATTCTTGGGTCTTTCGGTAAAGTCACGTAGATAGGTTCTGTTATCTACTTTGAACCTATCTACGTGACTTTACGGAAAGACCCAATAATATAGGGTTTAATTTCTCACTGAATTACTTCCCAGGTCGCTGTTATATTGGAGTAGCCATGTGACGAGTAGCCATGTGACGAGTAGGCACAGCGAAAGGTATACTGGATGAGGTGCTGCTGGGTGCAGAAATATTTTCTAGGTAGCTTGCCAAGACACTCGGCTGAAAGTAAGCCCCAAGTACCCACAGTTTACCAAACCACACACGACCTGGCGATTCACAGACTGGTGTACCCATTTATTCTGCTTTGAAGGACAAGTGAGGGAGGGGGTTTTAAAAAAAAGTGACCATTGTAATTTTCTCCAGGGTGGTTTAATCTTTCCTGTGTGTGTCTCTCTCTGTCTCTGTTTGTCCCTGGCAGTGTTGGCGGGTGAACCCGGAGAGAAGATTTTCTTTGCCACTGAAGCCAATGTACATGCAGCAGATTGAAAGCATGGTGGGGCTGCTGTGAATATGCCAGTAAATCTCAATACGTGCCTCATCCACGGGATGAATGTAAAAACAAAAACCTCAACTATTTTTCAACTGACGTGCTGGCACCTGTGGCTTGGAAAAAAATATGCAAAGTCTACAGCCACGATAAACAAATAAGGGGCTACATTGGTAGCTGTGCACAGAACACATACTTTAAAAAAAGCCGAACCAGGTGCCTTGTAACAAAAAAATATATAATAGCCTGAGGATTTGGGGCTAGCTTGTCCATCTTGGATATTAATTAAATAGTTTAAGTTTCAACGAAGGGCTCGGCGAGTCTCAGAATTGTCTCTGAGGAGGGTCCTGCATCGGGATGTTTGGGCAATCCTATTTAATGGTGTTTTTGCACTTCTAAATTATTGAAATTATGTTTGTTATGCAATATCTGTCAATGAGAAAAAAAAGCAAACCTCACATTCAACTCAATACAGTTCATTTGTCCGTTAAGATTATGCCTGAGACACCGCAGGGTAGGGAGAAATTCATCCGACTGTAAATACGGCACTCTCAGTTGTACGCCCTGCGCACTGCAGATGGGCCGTTGCCCGAAACGTTACCCTGTCGCATATGAAATCTCTTCAACGGGCAGTATTTATGACGAATGCAGTGAGAGTTTTTGTTGTGTACGCGCTGTGCTCAAACAGACAAACATCTATGCAATAGGGATGTCTGATTTGTCTTGTTTTATGTCAATTTGTCGCTGTTGTACCGAGTTGTGAAAGTTTGCTGTTTTGTAAAGAGCAGAGTTTACATGTTCATAAGCAGTGCTTCCTCTGTCTCACTGGCAGAAAGAAAATATCACTTAGTTCCCTGGTGGTGTTGACCGTCTGACATGGGTTTTTGAAAGTTAAAGCCGTGGGCTATTTATTATGCATCAGGGTTGCTCAAAACCGGCGGACGTTTCATGATGCCTTGGATTCATTGATCGACATCCAGTCGTCCACTCGCGATAACGTGCATCACGTCATCTGTGTGATGCACGTATCCGTGTACTTCAGCGGACAAATGAAAGCATGTACGGTCGCTCGGATATGAATACTGACAGAAAGTCGGGGCACATCAGAGTCCATCAGAGCCATTTATCTATCAAGTGGCACGTTGCGACTGCCGCAAGCGTGCATAACGACGCATCGATTAATATCGATTCCAATAATCATGGTAACATGCGTCAAATCTCGCGCGTAAAACAAATGCATTACTATCGATTCGTGTCTGCTGTACGTAATTGGTTCACGTGACCCCCCCCCCCCCTCCCCCCTGCAGCCACTAGTGGCCTCAACATTCTCCACGGTGCTCAAATTTGTTTTTCTTATTGAATCGAATTATGACCCACAATTTCCAGGGGGGTGCATCATCCCACCCCTACTCGGCATGGTCTCTGCATTGTCTCGTGCCAGGCCAGGTCCTGTTTCTTGCAGTCAGCCAGTGACTTGTGACCCGTGGAAGACAAAGTGTGGATGTTCATCGTCTTGAGGGGGAATCAGTGTGGGCAGTGCCTTCCCGTGTAAGCACAGTCTACTCCAAAATGGCCCCATAGTGGCCCGTTTTTATTTTGATAGGAGTGGGGAATCTGCATCCACGGTGAGGCGGCCCGGAAGTTCGATTTATCCGACACGGCAAGCATCTTGGCTGCATTTATCGAGTGCACGACAAATATTTTCACCAAAAATTAGACACGCACTTTATCCCCGAATTTAGCACGCGGAAGCCATTTTTCCGTCACTGCCAAGGGCCTCTTGCAGTGACAGAAGTGACCGAGGTGTGGGTGTGTTCATGTGTGACCCACAAAAGGTTTTTGAAAATTCATTTGGCTCTCGATAAAGCAAGAGGATCCCTCACCCCTTGTTTTTGTGATGAGGACGACAGCAGATGTGGTCCATTGGCGCACGGCTCGGAAGAAACCAGTTGTGCGGGCAAAGAAACAATTTTCGGCAACAGCTGCGTGCGGTGACTTTTGTGGGCATCGTCGTACCCTTAAATTGGCTTGGAGTTATATTACTATATTTTTGAAATTTCAAATAGAGCTGTGATAATTTACAGATAATAAGGGTGCGTGGATATTTTGTTGATAATTAAAAAAAAAGATCCCTCTTGGGCGCTTTTAATGCGCCGATGCGAGACGTTAACTTTAATCGCCGAATGGATGAAAATATTCACGAGCTGTTCGTTACCGTCTGATGTGGGGCGTTGGGCTTTTGAAGCCCTGTCCGTGATTGAAATTTGAGCCATAACCGTGCTTGAGAAAACCCACGAGGGTTAGAAGTTTGGCAAATATCCAGTTTTTTTTCTGGCTTGGTTTGCAACGCCAACACAGGACCACTGATCTTTTTATTATTATACAAGGCAAAAGATCAAGTACTATATTTCCGTTTGGTAGACAATCAAAATAACTCGGCCAATGTGTAATGATAAAACTCGTGTAAGTTTTCAAAGTTTATTGAAAATACAGCCTTAGCACACTCAATAAGTAGTGCGCGAGGACAACACTTAACGGCTCTGGCCATTCATGGTTGATTACTCTGAGCCAGTTGTAATAGAGAAAATGAATTAAATGAATAAATATAGTATATATTATTTCTTTATATTATAAATGGTAATTGTGCCATATTTGTGTCACAAGCAATGGGGAGCAATATCGAAAATACAATGCGTGTCATGCGTGTAATGTGCCTTCGAATTGTGAAATAACGATGTCGAAATGATATTTTTCTAAATACACTGAAATAAAGTTATTAGTGCATCTATTTTAGCGGCCCTCTGCTCTCTTCACAATTGTATCGTTACGCATTTATAAAAAAAAACGGCGATTGAGAGTGATATAGTGACCTGGTCTTGATAATTCGAGACGAGAAAAATGCTCGTGAAATCTCACAGCTTTGCCTCCCAACCCAAAGGCTCCAGTTGTCTTTCCCATGTTTACCCCGATGTTTTACTTTATGCAAACGAATGCCAGGTTGCAACAAAATTGAGGAATAGGAGGAAAGTTTAGTTTTTTTTTAAAGATTAGCATGGTGAAAATTGTAGTTCGTGGTTTCTTTTGACCATCAAAATACCATTTAGTCGGAATGAGTCCCAGGACTGATGAACTTCTCGTCATGTAAATGTGTATAACCCATGTAACGATTATCACATAGACCAGGTGGCTCAGCGGTAGAGAGCGGTTTGGTATCGCAAAGTTGTGAGTTTAAATCCTGCTTGGGGGGCGATTCGGTCCGTCATCCCTCTGGGGTTACTCATGAGTACAACTCCACAGTGGTTGTCCTATGGAAAGACTCGTCCCCATCATAGGGACGTGGAATTTTCACTGTTTCGGGTCTGTAAATGGGAGGTGACCACTGCCTGAAAGCTCTTTTGAACAGAAATCCCTTTGACCTTTTCATTCGCGGCACATTTAGCAGAATGTCTTTGCTCAGGAATCATGAAAAAAATCCAGTTAGTCCTGTGTTCTGCAGCAGTAAGTCAACATTAACAAGTTTTATTTTTATTAGAGGACGTTTACAAAGACTATAGCCACACGTAATCATTAACACTTCAAGAACTTAATGGGATATTAGACCATTTTTTTTGTATAAACACAGCTAGCATTGTTTTTTTTTAATATATAGTGCAGTTTAACACGTAGGCTTTCGTGACCAATATCCATAAGAGGTTTTTGGGTTAGATCACGTAAATATATAAATGTGTCGTTAAAACCCGCCACCACCCGACACAGCCAATTAGTCAGGGTTGTCACGTAAACAGAACGTGGCCAATTCGTCACTAGTACAGCACACCGGTGAGTTGGAGAGCCAATTGTAAATGTTGTGGCTTTGCTCTCCAACACACCCGTGTGCTGTACTAGTGACGAATCGGCCACGTTCTGTTTACGTGACAACCCTTACTAGTTGGCTGTGTCGGGTGGTGGTGAGTTTTAACGACAATATATTTACGCGATCTAACCTAAAAACCTCTTATGGATATATAGTGGACTTCGCATTTATCTTCAGAATTGCCTCGTTCACGTAAACCAATGAAGCATAGCAGGGGCTTCCAACCATTTGTGTATTAAAAAAAAAATCGTTATTCTTAATAATTTAATTGGATCGTTTCTATACGCTAATCTAATGGTCTTATAGACAAACTGTTCCCTGGTATATAATGTGGAATTTCAACAAATGATACATAACCACCTACAGATGACCACCGCTGTTTTAATGCAGCTTTTGAATTTAAGCGGCACTGCCAAACTATTGACCACTGACCAAATTAACGGGAAAACGTAAAGAGCGGTTCGTTAAACAGAGGTGCTCTGTATGGAGTCGGCCCGCACCATCCTGAAATTAATGCGCGTCTGCCCTCCCTTTGGGGGCGTGGCCGAAGCGGGGGACCCTCCGGACACGAGGCACCCTCGAACGGCCGCACGGACGCCCTGCGTCTCCCGCCGGCGCAGGAGCAGCACGACGGCCGGCACGGCGCTCGCCTCGCAGAACGCCAGCCCGTGCCCCATCGCCACCAGCCAGCCCGTGGCGGCGGCGCCGGGAACCCTTCCCGGCGCCGTCGCCACGTCCACGAACACCCTGGGCGACACGCACACGCCGTGCACGATGGCCAGCGACAGCAGCAACGTGTGCAGCTGCCCCTCCGCCTGCGCCCGGCGCCGCGTGCGCGCCCAGGGCCGCCCCTTGCCGGGGCGCCGCACCCGGCACGCCGCCAGCGCCGAGCAGCTCGCCGAGAAGACGAGCGGCAGGCAGAAGTGGCAGCCGAAGACCCACCAGACGCGCGAGCGCTCGTACGCGGCGCGCAGCCGCTCGGCGAGGTTGCCGGCGGCCGCCCAGCGCCGGCGGGAATCGCTGCCGTGCGACGTCCGGCCCGGCCGCGCCTCGCCGGCGAAGCCCGTGGAGCGACGGCGAAGCTCGGGAGTCGGGCTCGCTCCGAACGTCGCTTCGCGCCGCGACCGGTCGAGCCGCGGAGTGAAGGCGGCGGCGGCGTTAGAAACGTCGGGCGCGAGGTCGGCGGCGAGCGACGTCGGGACGGAGGGGACGCCGGCGGTCTGGCCGGAGACGTCGGCGGAGGGAGACGGAACGAGTTGGAGCGGCGGCTCGGACGGACTCCGTCCGAGGGCGACCAGCGGCGGCAGCAGCTCGGGGAGCGCGAGCAGAGCGGCGCCCACCCAGACGACGGCGATCTTGCCCGCGATGGAGGGCCACGTCTCGGTGGCGCCGGAGTGCGTGGGGAAGAACGCGGCACGAAGGCGCTCCATGGCCAGGGCGCACAGCGTGAACGTGCACACGCCCAGCACGAGGGCCTGTCAAAGACAACGGTCCCCCGTGTAGCCTCTTCTTAACAGACTGCCGTTGGGGCAAGTGCTGCGAGCGAGCAGCACCTACGAAGGCCGGCACGGCAAACGACGGGTGGGTGGCCAGCACCACGCCCGGTCGTCTTTCTCTTTTTTCGTAGTGCAGCCACCCGTTTTGTCAATCCACTGCTGGATGAGAGTATCCCCACGCCGTGCGGGTCGCACGCGCTATATGACCATACTTCACCACGTTGCTCAGTGCGGGTTGGTGACGGTAGGGAGGAGAGACGTGGGAGCATAATTACAGTACAGTACAATAATGAATTTGGCTGCAATTATTCAAAGTTGTTTACTACACTTCTCCCTAAGCCATGCCCCTGGGAGGCAGGACAGCACGTAGGTTATACTGGTAGGAACGAAGTTGTAAACTGAGTGTACCAGCCTGCAATAGATTAATGTGTCCGTCCGTACGTCCCCTTTCAATACTTTAACGAAGTGAAATCTCGTGCTGTTGGGGTGTAAAAATAAAATTGCGCAAAATTCCAATGTTCCTACCAGCCCACCCTGCAGGGACCTGTTATAATGCTCGTGATTTGAGTGCTCTCTCTGTGTGCATGGGTTTCTCCAGGCAGTTTGTTTTATTGCCACACAGAATGCTAAAAATAATAACAATGTCATTTATACTCTTTGGTTCTATTGGGTAAAGTCACGTAGGTAAAAAATAAAATTACCTACGTGACTTTACCCAATAGAACCAAAGAGTATGGATCCTAGCAGTCACGAAAGCTTTAAATCTAGAATGTCATTTATCCAGCAGAGCTGCAATGAGTCTCAAGCCTCTTGTTCAGGAGGGTACTAACATTGAGATGTTTGGTAAATTCCATTTTAAAAAGGTTTTTTTTGCACGTGGGAGGAAACCAGCTTTCCAAGACACAACTAACCGTGCATTTAAAAGAATAACACTCCTTTTAAATGTCCACGCAGATGGATTTAAGAATGGGCTTTTTGTATCCTGCCATCTTCTTCGCACCTCCAAATGGCACGGTTGGCCAGGTACGGTGCGAAAGAAGTTCAACGTATGGTACGTACATCTGGTCACCGTAGAGCCAGTGGGTTAGAGAGTGTAATACACTTGCGTGGTCCCACGATCCACGTTGGTTCACAGGTGCGAGCCACCAGTTTGAAGGACTGACTGCAGTATTATTGATTATGATGATTGAGACCCTTGCTGAGAATTAGTCCTGACCACTCGGTGAGGTTTCCCCTCTATAAATGATGACCGCATTATTGATTGATGATGATGTGGACTCTACCGATGGGTCTTGAGACTCGGTGAGGTTTTCCAATCTAAGCTCGCAGTGGTGTTTAACCTTTACTGCAGGCTTTCACCCCTTTTGTTCTTGATCGTTAAAAACATTTATAATTTTGATTTAAAGCTTTCGTGACTGCAGTAATTCATATTCTTAGTTTTTTCGGTAAAGTCACGTTGAAGAGAAACAACAAAATAACAAAATATATATAAAACAATAAAAAATTCTCACGACGTTTCGACCATAACTCAAACGGTCATCACACACACCTGATGATGACCGTTTGAGTTATGGTCGAAACGTCGTGAGAATTTTTTTTTATTGTTTTATATATATTTTGTTATTTTGTTGTTTCTCTTCAACGTGACTTTACCGAAAAAACTAAGAATATAACATTTATAATGTTAATCAAGACATAAGTTTGATTAAACAAAGCAGTTGTACTTACGTGCCCTTGGCTTAATTTGTGTTTCGATGATTTACCTTCTAAAAAAAAAATGTGGCATGCCTCGCACCCCCAGAAATGGCAACTCGCGCCTCCACGGCGTGCGTGCCCCCCAGGTTAAGAACCACTGCCAATCTACAGGTATCGTGATGACATACATCACTTCGTGATGCTCCTTTGGTAGTGGTGCATAAGCACAATTGACGAACAAAAAAAACTCAAAACACTCGTCACCAACACTGCTTTAAAAGAAAAAAAACAATCTGCGACGTTTCAGGCAATGACCCTTCAAGTGCATTGAAGAAGGGCTATTGGCCATAACGCTGCCGATTTTATATATTTTTGTTATAATTATTGTATCTTTTTAAGGCAGGGTTCTTGGTGAGTACGTTTAGGCATTCTAATGGCAGTGTCACTGACGAATGCTGATAATTATATGACTGTTAGACCCCATTGAGAGGGAAGCTTGAGACTCCATTAGGCCTGCCTCGATACATTTCAATGCCAGCGTCATTGGTCCATTAAGGATTAGTAGGATGAGTGGTTGAGTACCTTGCCACGATTGATGGTGAAGTTATACGATGTAAATTGTATTATAATAGCAGTATTGTTCATTCGTGATGATGTTAACTGTTAAAGAAAGGAGTCTGAGTTTGAGGTTTTGCATTATAAAATATAACGACTCTTGACAATGGCAATGAGTGATTGCTGAGACTGTAAGTCTCGAGACTCAGCGGGGAGTAGTAAGTTCAGTTAAGTTGTTTTATTTAGCCAGGCCAGGACTCAAGGGACCATGGTGGAGTATAAGTATCACTTGTAAGAGTGACATCATCCTAAACACATGGCAATGACGGTGAAGTACGGTGCGAAAGAAGTTCAATTTACATACTATACAGCGTGGTCCAAATGTCTTGTGACCCCAATTTAATTCTCTGAAACGTATTATTTTTAAGTGAAGGTTTATTTAAAGGGGGAAAAAAATTAGAGGTCAATTAATTCGGGGTCACAAGACATCTGGACCGCCCTGGGCGTAATGCGTAACTGTGGCTGAGCAATAGCTTCTTGGCTGGCCAAGAGGAAGTCAGTCCTGTCTCACTCCTCACTCACCTCCTCACCCACCTCGTCACTCACCTTGTAGTCCTGTCTCACTCCTCACTCACCTCCTCACTCACCTCCTCACCCACCTCGTCACTCACCTTGTAGTCCTGTCTCACTCCTCACTCACCTCCTCACTCACCTCGCAGTCCTGTCTCACTCCTCACTCACCTCCTCACTCACCTCGTGTCCTGCCTCACTCCTCACTCACCTCCTCACTCACCTCGAAGTCCTGTCTCACTGCTCACTCACCTCCTCACTCACCTCGAAGTCCTGTCTCACTGCTCACTCACCTCCTCACTCACCTCGTAGTCCTGTCTTACTCCTCACTCACCTCCTCACTCACCTCCTCACTCACCTCGTAGTCCTGTCTCACTCCTCACTCACCTCCTCACTCACCTCGCAGTCCTGTCTCACTCTTCACTCACCTCCTCACTCACCTCGCAGTCCTGTCTCACTCCACACTCACCTCCTCACTCACCTCGTGTCCTGTCTCACTCCTCACCCACCTCCTCATTCACCTCGCAGTCCTGTCTCACTCCTCACTCACCTCCTCACTCACCTCGCAGTCCTGTCTCACTCCTCACTCACCTCCTCAGTGTTAAGATAACAAAAGGGGTTCCACAGGGTTCCATCCTCGTCCCCCTCTTGTTCTCTCTTTATGTAAATGACTTGGGCACTGACCTGAATCATTCCAGGATAAATATTTTTGCAGATGACACGATGAAGATTACTGCTGGCAGCTCTCCGGATGACGTGATTGCTAAGCTCCAGTGTGATTTCAACAAACTACAACATCAACTAGTTGCTCTTAAACTAGTCCTGAATACCTCCAAAACCAAGGTGTTATGCTTCTCACCAGGACTAAAGCAGGAAGTTATTTTTCCCCAATTACATTCCTTAAATAATTATCAAATAGAGCAAGTCAAGATCTATAAGTATCTTGGGGCCATCCTGGATTCAAAACTGAATTTTGAAGATCACATTGATTATATTGGTAAAGACAAAAATAAAAATTGGTTTTCTGTATCGACACAAGCACTGCTTCCCCACTATGTTCCGTTTGGAATTGATAAAAGCTACCATACTGCCTCTACTCGATTACTGTGACATCGTGTATAAATCAGCCCCAAGTACTGTACTGAAGAAGCTTGATTCCATCTATCACTGGGCCTTAAGATTTGCATTGAACTGCCCATATAGGACTCACCACTGTAATCTCTACATTGGGTCAAACTTAACTTCTCTTAATGTACGACGGCTTGTGCACCAGATCTTATTTATTCACGATGTACTTACAAAAAAATCCGCAGACTACCTGGTGGATCTCCTCGCTGTTTCAAAGAACAAATTTGACCTCAGGTCTTCGCTCATTTACCAGCCTCACATTCCCTATTGCCGTACAAAAACTGGAGGAAGGGCTTTTGCTATTGATGCCCCCAGGGTCCGGAATGCTATTGCCAATAAACTGCAACTTGAATCGCTACCAATGAGATCTTCTCTCAAAACTGCTCTAGAAGAGTTGTACACCCCTAGCTGCCACTGCTATTCATTGGCGTAAAATAAAATAAAATGTTTTCGCTCCGGATGACGCTGCAAAGTATTATCTGTATTTTGATTTAGCGTGTTGTGATCTTAAAGGTGCATTGAAAAATTTGATACTCTGACTGATGCTTCTGTTGTTGTGGAGTAACTCATGCAGCTAGCTATGGTTCTAGGATTTGGTGTTACATGTTATTTATGTAGTTTATTGTAAAAATTCGGTCACTGTTACGTTGCAATTATGGCTTTATTTTTTGGTGATTTCGAAAAGTTTTTTGGTTTGGACTTATGTGTTTTATTGTAGTACGGAGTTAGACTGATGGACTTAATCTAAGTTTTATTGTGGTTGTTGTTGTTTGACTTGCATCCCACTGGGATTTTTTGCACACAGCGTTGGTGTACAGTGCTTTTTTTTCAGGAATATTTTTGCTGTTTTTTCATGGATTTTCTATTTGCACAGTCAGTCACATAGTCACTTTAAGATGTTTTCTTGTTCGTGTTTTTGTTTTTTTTGTTTGTTGTGGTTGCACCCGATTCAAAAGCCGAATGGCTCACAGGGCTATACCAAAATAAAGAAACTGAAACTGAAAATCACCTCGTAGTCCTGCCTCACTACCCACTCACTCACCTCCTCACTCACCTCGCAGTAGCGGAGCGCCACGTGAATCGCGCGGCGCTCCGCGGGCCCCACCAGAGGCGTCTCGGCCGCCACCGCCGCCGGCAGCGCGGCCGTCGCGAAGAGCCCCAAGGCGGCGGAGAGAGCCCCGAGGAGGGCGGGCGCGACTCCGCGGGGGCCGCCGCCCACCCGGCAAAGCAGCACGGCCGCGTTGCCACCGACGCCGACCACGAAGAGCGCCGCGGAGACTCCGAGAGCGAGGAGGGAGAGCCACGGGCTGCCGCCAGAGACGGCGGAGAGCAGCGGCGGCGGCGGCGATGGTGGTGGTGGTGGTGATGGGTGGCCCGGTGGAGCCACGATGCTCTCTCCACCACCCATCCCCGCCCCAAAGACGAAGATCCTCACCTCGCGTAGCCTTCACAGAGTGTCGGGGCAAGTGCCGTGAGCGAGTAGCAACCTGTGAAGGCCGGCACGCCACACGGGCGGGGTGGATGGCCGGCAACCACGCCCGACCGCCTTTGTCTCTCCAGTGGCGATGTTTGTTTTTTTACACACCGCACCGAGTGCTCATTTGAGGCTTGAGTCGACTTCGGGGAGTTGGTGGCCCTGAGCGGGAATCGAACTCCGGACAGCGGGGTTCGTAGCGCAGCGCGCGAACCGCGGGACACTACCGCTCCCCCCCCCACACACAGACACACACACACACACAGACACACACACAGACACACAGAGAGACAGAGACACACAGACACACACAGAGAGACACAGACACAAAAAGACACACAGAGACACACAGACGCAGACACAGAGACACACAGACACACACACAGACAGAGAGACAGAGACACACACACAGAGACACAAATAGACACACAGAGAGCGACACACAGAGACACAAACAGAGACACAGAGAGTCAGAGACGCACAGACACACAGAGAGACACACAGACACAGAGAGACACACAGACACAGAGAGACACACAGAGACACATAGACGCAGAGACAGACACACACAGAGACACAGACACACAGAGAGAGACACAGAGAGACAGAGACACACACAGACACACACAGAGAGACACAGGGAGACAGAGAGACACACACACAGAGAGACAGAGAGACACAGACACACACACAGAGACACACAGAGACAGAGAGACACAGACACAGAGACACACACAAAGAGACACAGAGAGACACAGAGACACACACACAGAGAGACACAGAGACACACAGAGACACACAAAGAGACAGAGAGACACACACAGAGACACAGAGAGACAGAGACACACAGAGAGACACAGAGACACAGACACAGAGACACACACAGAGACACACAGACACACAGAGAGACACAGAGACACACAGAGAGACACAGAGACACACAGACGCAGAGACAGAGACACACAGAGAGACAGAGAGCCACACACAGAGACACAGAGAGACACAGACACAGAGACACACACAGAGAGACACAGAGACACACACAGAGAGACACAGAGACACACACAGAGAGACACAGAGACACACACAGAGAGACACAGAGACACACAGAGAGACACAGAGACACACACACAGAGACACAGAGACACACAGAGAGACACAGAGACACACACAGAGAGACACAGAGACACACACAGAGAGACACAGAGACGCGCTGCGTCGTCACCTCCGCGTCTCTCTGCTGTGAGAGACGTTCCAGGCTCCCAACGCGAAAGGCAACACCTGTAGCTAAAATAATTAAATATTGATAATTCCATTGGCCCGAGTCTGTCGTGGTCGCGTTACGTGAGCCAGCGGTGTCGAGTTGCCCTCCTGTGATGTGCGTTAGGCAAGGGGGCCTTTGTGCTTCTGTGTGTCTGGGATGGAGACAAAGGCGGCCGGGCGTGGTGCTGGCCAACCCCTTCGATTGCCGTGCCGACCTTCATAGGTGCTGCTCGCTAACAACACTTGCCCTCAATAGTCGTAAATTTTCGATTTAAAGCTTTCGTGACTGCATGGATTCATCTTCTTGGTTCTTTCGGTAAAGTCACGTAGAATGGAAATAAAATAATACAAATAAAACAATAATAAAATAAAATTCTCACGACGTTTTCGGCCACGACACAAGTAGCCTTCTTCTTGTGTTGTGGCCGAAACGTCGTGAGAATTTTATTTTATTATGTTTTATTTTTATTATTTTATTTCCATTCTACGTGACTTTACCGAAATACCCAAGAAGACTCAATAGTCGTGTTAAGGGTATACGGGGGGGATCTTTGACGAGGGATGGACAGGTGTGGTGTGGCTATAATATCCGCAACCAACGTTCGGCCAACGTTGGCGCGTGGTTGAAATCGTTCGACCATCGTTGTTGGCCCAACGTTTCCTGGGTGTCGCGAAAATACAAAAAAAAATGTTTAACGTTGTTGACACCGGGCACAAAGTTTGAGATGCGTCTTGTTTTCCAGAGGGTTCAATTTTGATTTGAAGCTTTCGTGACTGCAGGAATCCATACTCTTTGGTTCTTTAGGTAAAGTCACGTAGAGTAGAAAAATAAAACTAAAAATAATAATTTCTACCTACGTGACTTTATCGAAAGAACCAAAGAGTATGGATTCCAGAGGGTTCTTATACACCGGATAATCCGGTAATTTACTACTATATTTACCTAAGAATGTCTGTGTCCCGGGCGTGACGTCACTCCACGGCGACCAGCCCCCCTCATTAATAATCATGAATAGATGACGTCCTCCAAATGGACACCCCCCCCCCCCCGCCATTAATAATAATTAGCGGCTGACGTCACTCCATTAATAATAATTAGCGGCTGACGTCACTCCACATGGGGGGGGTGGGTGAGGCGCCTCCTCCCCCCTCCTCGGCGTCAACTTACAACCTTCACTACAAACCTTCAAGTCACGTGATCTCTGTAACGCTGTTGAGACATCAAAGTAAAAAGGACGTCATGATGAACAAGGGATTATAACCTTTAAGTGAAATAGGTCTGTGTCACCGCGCCCTTACAAATTGCACACGAATGTATGCAATGAATATAACACATCGCGGTCTGCTGTTCGCTTGCAAGTTTCAGTTTTACTGCAATACACCCGTCCTTGGACTGGCAAAAGGCTAGTATACAATAATAGCGATGCATTTATGTTTTTCTTTTCCCACGAAAGCCTCGCTGAGTTTCAAGGGAGACAGATGCATGGGGACGTGTGGAGAGAGAGAGACTTGATATTGGAGGGACAGATTATGCGAAGAAGGCATTCCCAATCGACGGGGGTTCAGAACGCTTTTGCGAATGGAGGGTCCTACGATAGGATGTTTAAACGATGCCATTCGTGCGCGCGCGTGGTTTGTGGCAGGTCGTCGCAATACGGGAGAAGACGCGTGCATGCAGAGATAACACGTAAAGCTGCACACACAGTCAATGCACTACTTTCTGTCTGCCAAATTTCCATGGGGCCTCTCTGCAGGCCCAGCGGGCTTGGTTGGGACTATCACAACTTTTGTGCGAGCCGTCAAACTCTCGACTCCCAAGGCGCTGGGTTAACATGCATGGTCCTCCACGTCCTGAATGGTTTAAACCAGTGGTTCTTAACCTTTACTGCAGGCTTGCAACCCTTTGGTTCTTAAACGTAAACAAAATATATCATTTTTGATTTAAAGCTTTCGTGACTGCAGTAATTCATATTCTTAGTTCTTTCGGTAAAGTCACGTTGAAGGGAAACAACTAAATAATAAAATATATATAAAACAATAAAAATTCTCACGACGTTTCGACCATAACACAAACGGTCGTCTTCACCTGAAGATGGTCGAAACGTCGTGAGAATTTTTATTGTTTTATATATATTTTATTATTTTGTTGTTTCCCTTCAACGTGACTTTACCGAAAGAACTAAAAATATATCATGTTAATAAATACACAGCTTTGATGAAACAAAGTAGTTGTACTTACGTGCCCGTGCTGAATTTGTCTTTTCGATGATTTACCTTCTAAAATAAATCTGACGTATCTCGCACTCCCTGGGGGTGCGTGCATCCCAGGTTAAGAACCACCGGTTTAAAACGAAAAAAAAGCATGCACAATACTGTGGAGTATACAGTTAGGGTCCAGGTTCGTGGATTTGTGTTCGTTCATCCACAGTGTAATATGAACTTGTGATACATTATTGACGGCACACCTGAGCAAAAATGCATTATTGGTTCTGTGGTAATGAAATTACAGGAATAATTGCAGGCAGGTTGAGATCGCGATGGCAGTGCTACTTTAAAATATCCGCCAATCTGCTGTGCGCAAACATCTCGAGACAATAGCAAAAAAAACATTCCAAAGGGAGGCTCGTGTTCAATTTGGAAATGGTCAAGTTTTATGTTCTGTGCTGTAATTGAATTTACAGTTGAGTGAACCATCCCACCACTTGCGGAGCGTGTGCTCTTTGAGTCAAGACACCTACCTTCAATGTCAAATTAAAGTTGCGTGCTGCTGATGAATGTCTAGGAGTTGTCTCGTGTCCAGCAACCTCGAGGCGGTGATGGTGTTGATATGAACGTGCACGTTTATAACCTATTGTCAATCCATTGCCAGTTACAGCCTCTCCCAACAACCACGTAGGTCTTTGCACCATACTGCATCACTGCTGCTCAGCACGGGCTGGTGAAGGGGGGAGAACACACGTGGGGGTCCATAGAAGTACAGTGCAGTATAATGGATTTGCTTCACCGCCCTCTGCTGACTGCTAACGTGGCTCCAGTAATAAACGCGTGTCATTTATCTATAAAAATATATATAAATTAACCGATTCTCAAGGAATGTCTCGGTCAGGTGGGGGTCCTACATTTGTGGTATTTGGCCATCTCTGTTGACACGAGTTCCTTGTAATTTGACTCGATCGCGTCAGTAGACACGTGGACTACTACACATGACACACGCTCCACCAGAGTAAAGTAAAGTAGACAAACTCGGCAACTGTTTTGCGAATGCGGTTTATTATTGTTATTACTGATCGAGGTATACGTTGCTCAATGATTACGCCTGTAGGTTAGTACGAGCCCCCTGTAGACGTGATTGCAGGACACACATCAGGCAACACACACCCACGGCATGAGCCTTGATTGAAATTCAGTAGAAATGACACCAGTTTCCCAAACTCCAGTCACTGCCACCTCCCCCACCACGCCTACGTCCTTCCGCATTTACAAACGTACTAACATTCAAATCAACTCGTTGCACGCTGCACGCGCCCGATGATTGTGAAACACGTCCCACGCGACACGCTGCGTACATAGAGCCGATTCAATATTAATAAACGGGCCGCGTGTACACTATTTTATATATTTACGCGATCTAACCCCAAAACAACCTCTTATGGATTACTTTTTTTGTTTTTAGTGAAAATATCTTTCATATAGAACTCCGTTTCTGGGATATTTAATCAGATACGTGTCAATTATATAGCAAAGAGGTACCACTACTACGAAGCTGGAGTGGCTGCATTTTGTTAAAACGGAGCGCCCCTAAAGTGTTTAATGTTTTAGACCGTTGAGCGTAACGATTATATGACTAGGCAAGAGGTGACGCGTTATTATAATAGTCTCGGTGCGACCGTGCGAGACAAATCAAATGTTGGGGCCCCACCTGACCGATTTCCGCATCCCCTGAGCTGACAATGTCGTTCACTAGATCACTGCCGTGAATACAGCAAGTTGTACATTCACCAGCTGTACCTCTACCACAATCGTGATTTATTGAACACTCATTCATGCAGGGCCATTGGCCCCGAGTTCTACTGTGGCTGGTTTATGGGAAACCTTTGTGATCAATACGATACGTGCTTAATTATGAGAAGAAGAATAATATCACAGAGCGTGTCTTCTCCGTCGAGTGAGATTCGTCAGCGCCACCGCTCAACGGCTGGACGTGTTGAACTGGGCGAAGAATTGCTCCGTCGGAGTGTTCTTGTAGACTTCCTTCTCCAGGAATTCTCGGCTGCAAATAAAATATTTCGCACCGAGCAAGGAATTAATGGGTGTGTGTCGGCAGGCCGCACGGAATTCAGGTAAAGTTCACGTTGTGGTGACGTAAACTCGCTGATAAGGTAATCACGGATTATCTCATTATTTCATCCTCGTAGCATCGGTGGTGGAGGAGGTGGGGGGGGGGCGTCTGGAGGGGTCTGAACCCCTCTGTAGAAAGCTCTGTTTCGAAATGATTTGGTACAATGAACGATAGGTGAAAGGAGATTGTATCGTGCACTCGGTTTGGTGATTTTACATGTTTAGAGCTTGTTTAGCAATTGACTGTGCCGTGCCTTCCTCCTCGGTTGAGATGTTAAATGGGCCCACCTTTACAGAAGGCCACACTTCAGGGTTTGAATGCCCACGGCGTGTTTCCCATGTGTGCACATTTTGTGAAAGTATGACGGACAGAGTGTGATAGCTGTTTGTGTACTGTGCAGTCAGCGATTTCCGTGTGTCTGTGCGTTGTGTTGAAATAATAATGATAACAGTGCTTCTTTGATTCATCCAGGAACGCCTGGCTGAGTCTCAAGATTCAGTGAGGCCCTATGCTGGGATGTTCTTCATTGAGTGCGGCTGTTCGGGAGGAAACCAGAGAAGCCAGAGGAAATAGACACCTTGTAGCCATGCAATTGTCTCTAAAGAACTCCATTATGGGCGTGCATCGCGTGTGTTATAAATTAGCAGCGGGGAGACAAAGGTGGCTGGGCATGGTGTTAGCCACACCCCACCCCGTGCACTAAAACTGATGTGTGTGCCTTTGCAATGCATGTCAGCACAGTGCATGTGCCGTTAAGAGGGTTGCTTTTGATCTAGAAACTGCTGGATGAAGGCCTCTGCATGCTGCCACCATGTCTCACAATCTCGTCACACAACAATCCAGATCTAGCCTCCCGCGCTACGAGCTAATTTCGTCGCTCCATCTCCACGGTTAAAATGTCCTCTCGAACGTGTTCCCCCTCCTTTGGCGGCCACTCCGTCGTTAGTCTTGGCCGTCGTTTACATTTGTTTAACGGTCAAGGCGATGTCTTTCAACCGGGGTGAGCACGGCGTTTGCGTGTCTCGGGCAGTTGTCGCAAACGGAGCGGGGTCGAGAGGCGAACGAGAGCATGTTGAACGCTTGGAAATCCGAACTTGGCACTTTAACGAAACGTAATCGAACGATATGCGTAGAGTAATGGCTTTCACCAGCATACACGACCTGGAATGATACGCGGATCAAGAAAACACGGACGTTGACGAGGAAAATGACGCAACAAAAGCTGGAAAATGCCCAAAGAAGCACAGAGAGCTGCAGGTTTTGAATTACGTTCAAGAGACAGGGGGAGGCACACGTGGATAAGAGAACATTTTCAGCTGGCTTGTAAAGTATAACTACATATTGATATATAACTACATGTATTCAAGGAAAACAAAGTGTAATCGATAAAATCCCTCGCCGGTCTAGGCATCTAGGACTCAGCCTTAAATGAGTACCTGGTGCTGTCTGTGTGTTAACATCATCACTGGGGAGACAACGGTGACACGAGGGGTGATTCTGGCCTCACCAACACCTCGAGTGCCGTGCCGGCCTTCATAGGTGCTTGCTAACAGCACTTGCCCCGACAGCCTGTATGTCTATGTGGGGGATCTTTGTCTGTGTGTGCGTACTCACTGAGGTCGCGCCGCGGTTAGCCTCGCGGTTATTGCGCTGCGCTATGAACCCGGCGAGCCGAGTCCGATTCCCACTCATGGCCACCAACACCGGTGACGATTAACCGAACACCTAGGTCGACTCAGCCTTAAACGAGTACCTGGTGCTGTGTGTGTGTGAACATCGCCACTGTGGAGACAAAGGCGGCCGGGCGTGCGTGGTGCTGGTCACCAGCACACCCCGTCGTGTGCCGTGGCGACCTTTGTAAGTGCTGCTACTCACTAATAGCACTTTCCTGAAAAGTATATTAATGCTATACGGGGGGGGGGGGGTGGGGGGGTGGCAGGTAGTTGTGGGTGGGATCTTTGTCTTTGCACTCACTGCATGTTCTGCTCGCTGGCCAGCTGCATGTTGGTGCTGTCCAGGGCTCGGCGCTGCTCCTTGGCGCTGCGCTGCTGTTCCTGCTCCAAGAGCGTCCCGATGCGTGCCGCCTGCAGGCTCTGGCGCTCCCACTCCTCGTCTCGCCGGCGCGCCTCCTCCTCCAGCCTCTGCACGCCACCGATCGTTGCGGCCGTAGTAAGCCGCGGCGAGCCTCAGAGGTTTCGGTCGCCGGTCTGCCGACGCTTGGCAATGCAGGATGCCATGCCGATGGAACTAAACTATTATTGTTCTATCAGGTAAGGCCCACGGAACTCTTTTTTTTTTTAGAAGTGATCTGGCCACAAATGATAGCTCAACGAAGTCGCCTATTGTCACGTGGAAAATTATAGCAGCCATTATACTCCAAACGCATGTTTCTAATTGTGGATGGGAAAAATCGTAGGACTCAGACAAAAATCCACGCGACCACAGGGAGAACATGCAAACTCCAAATATACAGGTGTCAGGGTCGGGCTTGAACCCAGGACCTCCTGCATACCAGGTGAGGTAGTTAACATCTCGCCACCACGCAGGTGTAGTAATACAAGTCGGCACTGATGAACACTGTCCAACATCTGCTAGACACGGTGACTGCATGGGACAGCAGTGAGTCGTCGTAGGCTTACGAATGCACGTGCTACGAACTGAGATTTGTCATTCAGTTTGCATGCAAATGTGTCACGTTGCTCTGTATTGTCACCTCCGATTAGCACAGTTGGCTACATATGATGCGAAAGAAGTTCAACATACATACATGCATAAGAGAGGTTTTTGGGTTAGTTCGCGTACATATAAATGTGTCGTTAAACCCACCATCACCAAACACAGCCCAAAATCTCTTATGGATAATATTGGTCGTGAAAGCCTACGTGTTGTTAAACATACATATGTGCGTCATTTGTTCCCGTTGTCAAGACAAAATGATAAATGTATTGCTGCACGCCGTATATGTAACATGTACGTGTACGGCCCTTATCGTCAATCCACTTCTGGAAAAGGGCCTCCCATGCCATGTGTGTCGTCAGGTGCTATTTGACAATACTTCACGCTGGTCGTTGGAGGCTGGTGAAGGCGTGCAGCATACACATTGGAGCGTGGTGCAGTACAATAACGGATTTTAAGGCACTGCCACCTTGCTGCCCACAGCATGCCCACAGCGTGCCTCCCACAGCAGCCTAACAGCATTGGTTTTTAAGCAAATTATCTGACAATGCTGCGTTGGCAGTGGTGCACAAGCACAATTAACAAAACATTTGAAACATATTCATCAATAACACTGTGGCCTAAAAGGAAAATATATATAACCGGCAACGTTTCGGGCAGTGTCCCTTCTTAATGGCACCCATTATTTACTTTCTATATCGAAATAACGATTTGTTTTTTGCTCGGCCACCTGGCCACCAGTAGTGCGAGTGGCTCGCAATTTGAAATCTGCAAGTTCAAATCCCGGTTCGGGGGTTGACTTAACCCATCATCTCTCCGGGGTCGATAAAATTATTACCACTTCGTTGGGAGGTCAACAGTGGCTGTCCTTTGGATAGACCCCCCCCCCCATCCCTCACGTTAGTCATAGGAAAGTGGAATCTCCATCTGTGGGAATTGAGCACCGCCTCATCTCAATTCAGACGTTGACTCTGCTTTGTTAGGACAACGGCTGACCCGGGGCACACCGCCCCCCCCAAGAATTTGCCCCCAACACCGCGTCGAGGACGCGCTGCGCGGCTGCCCACGGGACCTTCTTCTCCTCGCGCTGGCGCTCCTGGGCGAGGCGGATCTCGTGCAGCTGCTCGCCGCTCATGCCCTTCCAGCGGTCGGGTACGACGCGCAGCGGGCTGAGGGCGCTGGACGCCTGCGCGGGGTCCTCGGTGAGCAGGCCGCCCTCCAGCAGCGCGGCGATCTCCGCCTGCGACGCCGCCTCCTCCTGCTCGTGCTCCCGGCGCCGTTTTGCCTCTTGCTCCTCCGCCTGGAGGCGAATCAACCGCACACCGCACACCGCACACCGCCCGCCCGCCGGGTTTACGAGTGCGGTGGGGATATGGATCACTCTGTTATTTAGAACTAAACTGATATCTTCCGTTTTTTTTTCCCCTCCACATTTAGAATTAACGCTCGTTTAGTGTATTGACTGCTTTAAATGTCCACGTGATGAGCCACTTCGTCGAGACATCCATTGGTGGCCAGGTCGCTTCGGAGAAAGAGCTACAGAGCTCAGTGGGCCTTACCTGGTGAAATAGTAGTAGTAGATAACTCAACGAAGTGGCTCATCATCGTGTGGAATTTATAGTAGCAGCCAAATAATTTAAATGCGTGTTGGTTCTAAATGTGGAAGGGAAAAAACCGGAGGACCCGGAGAAAAATCTAAGTGACCACAGGGAGAGAGACGTACAAACTCGAAACGTACAGCGGTCAGTCGGAATCGAACCCACGACCTCCTGCATCCCAGGTGAGGGAGCTAACATCTCGCTACTGTGGCATGGGGGAGGGTGGGGGGGGGGGCGGGAGGAGTGGAGGAATGGGAGACGGGGGGTTGGAGGTGAGGCTATGCCACTGATGTTTATTCTGAATAAAACAGCTCTGTGTGGATGGGCTGTAGCCCAGGGGACAGGACACGAGGTGGCATAATTTAACCGTGTGGAGCTACGTTCTTCATTGCAAGGCCCGCGGGCCACTGGCAGCCCTCAGTGCGGCCCCTTGGCGTGCGGCCCCCCGGCAATACACAAATGTGACAAAGGCCCCATCATGCTGCCAAAACCCAATGGTTCCAAATGTGTGGCTAACCACACACTGAGATCTTAAGTGTACCCCCCGCCCTCACCCCCTCTGAAAATGAGTGAAGAACATTGGTGTGGAGGAACTGTCTCCGAGGAGGGACATGACAGGCTTAGTGTTAACTGTGTGGAGGAGAGATAACAGAGAGGCATGTTGTTGTTATTATCATCGCAGTCGCCATCATCTCTATCAACCATTGTTATCATGTTGGCATCACAAAAAAATGTTTTCGTGGAAAATCATTGTCATCCTCAGCAAATCACTGTCAGCATCATTAGCAGCAGTAAATCTCAAGATTGATTCCAAATTATCACACAGCTGCTCACGCTTTTGTGTCTTTGTATCGGCCATTTGTCAGGCATTACCGATCGAGTTCAATTTAGCGCGACGCTTACACTTTTTTTATTTCAAGCTGGCTAACAAACGCTTAGCCGGGTCGCGCACAGTCAGGCACGGGAGCCATCGTTACACGAGCGTCATTCGCCGTTGTCGTTGATGTTGTTAATGTTATATATAACATTATTTAACCACACGGTTAAATGTTAATGTTGTTGTTTGATTGCGAGGCTCACAGGACGCACTTCTGCCGCGCCTTCTCCTCGGGAGAGTCGAAGGCGCAGCGCCAAGAGAAAGACAAAGACGGACGTGGTGGTGGTGGTACGGGGAGCAGTAGCGCAGCGACTAGCTCACCGCGCTACGAACCTGGCGACCCGAGTTCGATTTTTGCTCACGACCAAAACAGTGGCAAATATTTGAACCGGTCCTGGGCCTCCCCTAGGTTGACTCAGACTCAAATGAGCACCTGGTGTGGTGTGCAAACATCACCATTGGCGAGACAAAGGCGGCCGGGCATGGCGCTGGCCAGCTACATTATGTATTAATAATAATATTTAAAAAAAAAACAATAAAATACATTTCAGAATTTCAAGGGGGAGCGCCACTGGCCGTAGTGTAGCATTTTATTTTGTGGGCCACTCAAAATCACGGGCCCAGGGCTGCAGCCTCGCTGCTCGTGCCGCGTGCCCCTTGCTCCGTACGCACTGCCCTGACTCCCCTCCCACCCCTCCCACCTGCGCACGGTTGAAATCCTTGGTGGCGGTAAGGATCACGCGGCGGCACGACTCCTCGGCGAGAGACAGCTGCATGGCTCGCCGGTCCATCTCCAGGCGCATAGCATCGTACAGCTCATCTGACACGCGAGCGCGCGCACACACACGTACGCAGAGCTAAAGAGCCCCTGTGTAGCCTTTAACAGACCGTTGGGGCAAGTGCTGTTCGCGAGCAACACCTCCAACGCTGTCCGCTGGACAGGTTGGTCCCTTCACCTGATGAAGGCCGCTTGTGTTGTGGCCGAAACGTCGTGATTTTGGTTGTTTAAATTTTTTACCTACGTGACTTTACCGAATAGAACCAAAGAGTATGGATCCTTGCAGTCGCGCACGGCACACATGGGGGGTGAATGGCCAGCACCACGCCCGGCCGCCTTTGTCTCCCGAGTGGCGATGTTCACACATTGCACCAGGCACTCACTTAAGGCCCAGTCTACCTAGGGGGGGGGAGGCCCAGGACTGGTTCAGATAATTGTCATTTGTTGTCCGTAAGCAGGGATGGTGACACATACCCACTCCGAATCAGAATATATGTATTTATACTGGAGGAATCCGATGACCTATAAAGCTCTTTTTCACAGATGTCCAGTAGGGGCGGGTCAGAACGTTACAACAACAAACAAGCAGTACCAAAAAAAACACGATAGGAGTGCAAAGTATAGGAAAGGTAAAAAAAAACTGACTTAAAATATACAAATACAACATTTTATTTACCAGGTAAATACCCATTGAGGTATTAACTTATTTTTCAGACGCGAACGTGGTCACAAAAAACAACCACACACACACAGAGTGGGTGCGGAGGCAGAGTAACTGCACCGGTGCTCAAAGTCCGTCTCCCGCTGTGGTTTTAAGTGCCGTTGCTCCTCCACAACAAACAAGCTGGAATGCATTCATGGGACCGTTTTGCCAGTATCAAAGTATGAAAAATGAGAATAGGTTTTCCCCTTTCTGGCAATAAACCAGGTGTTAAAATGTTCAAGCACAAAAAATACAAACCGTTTGCAAGGAATCGAGTTCGCATTAACCACACACAGTACTTGTGGTGAACATGCAAACAAACTCTGACAATAGATGCATGTTCTTTGAAACGGATTGGCCTACGTCAGAAACAGACTCCTTTATGGCCTAGTCTCACCACCAGTTGCAGACCAGAGAACGCCAAAAGGCGAACAGTACAAAGACAATGCCACGAATCAGAGCATTTATTACGTACCGGTACGTGTGGTTAATGCACACTTGCTTCCTTGCAAAAAAAGTATAAATTTGGTGTTTGAACATTTTAACACCTGTTTTATTGCCAGAAAGGGGCAATGCCTATTCTTATTTGTCATAAGTTGGAATGCCTTAATGTTTTATTTGGGGGGGGGGGAGGTGGCGGTGAGCACGGGCAGTTGGCTGGGGGGCCCCATGGCTCTCGGTGTATCGGCAACGTGGCCATGAGCCTTCTGCGGGCAGCTATGCGGCTTTTGGAGGGCCCCCCCTAGCCTTCTCGCACTTTCGAGATGTGTGGGTATTCTTTTGCTATGCTCACGAAGTGGCTTTTCGCTCGGGCATTGCACGTCAAACCAAATGGGACTGTAATTTATGGGGGAGAAAATAAATTGCCATTATTTTATGCTCGCCAAATGTACCGTTGTTCGAACGTAGGCAGACTGACTTTTTATCCACGCTGGGATGGTGACGCCACATCTATTTTCATGTACGTGTCAAACCGTAGACCTATGCCATAAGTCGTTGAGATGTTTGATAATATAATGAATGGCTCCTACTAAACGGACGATGCAAATGATGATGAATGATTCAAAGCTGATAAAGACGACAAAGGATGATTAATAATACAAATGAGTCATATTATCTGATATTGATCAATGAACGATCGATTGTTAATTTATGATTATAAATGAGTCATACTTGCTGATATTGTTGATGAATGAACGATTCGTAGTTAATCGATGATAATCATCATCATCATTCAAAATGAAGAGATAACGATGAAGATGACGATCGTGACGACAATTCGGAGCTGCAAAGACGATGTTCCTTGGCCCTGCGAGCGGTTTGCACCTCATGATGATGATGGTGGTGGTGACGATGATTACATTTAACGCTCGCGACAACTGCTGCAACAATTCCCGAGCCACCACCGCCGCCCGATTCCGCCACCTCTGTTCCTCCGCTCGTCCTGCGCTCGCCGCTTCTCCTCCTGCTGCTCCAGCAGCCACCTCCTCTGCTGCTCCTTCTGCAGACCGCGCCGCTCTCCGGCCTCGAGGTCTTCGCCCGCGAAGGAGCGCAGCCCCGACACCGCTCCCTCGTCCGCGACGACGTCGGAGTCTCCGCCGACGACGCCCGCCGGCGGCTGGGACCTGTCGCTGGCGCTCTGGCAGCGAGCCCAGTATTGGGCGAGGGAGCGATCGAGGGCACGGGACTCCTCGCGCTGTCTCTCGTCCAGGAGGATCGCGATGCGGTCGTGCCGGATCGCTGCGTCCGCTGCAACGGTGGGGGGGGGGGGGGGGGGGGGGGGGGGAGGGGGAGGGGAGAAGGGGGGCACGCTTTTGTTTTGCTAGGCCGGAGAGCGAGTCGGCAGCGGGACTCGAGAGCCGCAGGACGTAGAGAGAGAGGGAGGAGGAGGCACACGGCTTTACGTGGTGTGCCGGTGTGCGGAACATAGCTGTAACCTATAGGCTGTATCCGTATTCTTGTACAGGGGAATTGAGTTTTCAGGTCCATACGGCGTACAGCCGTTTCGAATATGGGCAGCAACATTTTTGTCTATTTGTTTGTGTTTCTCCCTTGTGATGGGGCTTTGTAGGATGAACGTTGAGATTTATAAGGGCACGGGGTGACCAATAAGATCTGAATTGGTCTGTAATAAGGTAGGCACTGATAAGGGGTTGACAGGTTTGTAATAATCCAGGTGACTGATAAGACTGGAGCAGACGGCACGTGACAAGTAGCTACAAGGCAGAGTAAGAGGAGGTATACGGAACGCGTTGTGCCGTGTGTGCGTAAATCTGTCGTTAGCAGCAAACGCAGCCGTGTACGAATGTTGCATTCGTGTTGGATAATTATCTTTAGGGGAATTGTGCCCCACGGTACGCACAGACGGACACAAAGCCGGACAGACGTATGGACAAATGGACAGGAATAGCTAACGTCTCGACCTCAGTTGGGTTGAGAGTCACAACGCTACTGTTATTGCTCAGAGCGAGACGTGCGTCTGCGTTACCAAAGGCCTCCTCCCTCGTCTTCTCCTGCTGCTCGCGAAACCTCCTCTGCTCCACCTGCTCGTTGAGGCCATCCAGGTCGACCTGCACGGGGAGTTGTGAGCGAGAGTTACAGCTGAGCACGAAGTCTACGTGGCAGGCAGGCAGGCACGGTGATGTCTACAGCGTACGGGGGTTTCAGAGTTTATCCACGTTTACCATTTCCGCGATTTCATACTGGAATGTTTTATTTTACACTCGCATTGCTTCTGCGAATATAAGCGACTTTGTTGAGCTGTCATTTGTGGTCAGGTCGCTTCTGAAAAACAAGTTAATAGCTCAGTGGGCTTTAACTCGTAATATATCTACAATAAAAAAAATTGTATTTGTGTTTTGTTTTTCCTTTCCTATACTTTGCACTCCGGTCGTGTTTATTTGTATTGTTTGTTGTTGTAACGTTCTGAGCCGTCCCTACTGCACATCTGTGAGAAAAAAGAGCTTCATAGCTCATCGGATTCCTCAAGTATAAATACATATTCTGATTATGATAACCTACTGTACATTTTTCTATTGCATTGGCAGTTTTAAATGATGGTGTTGATTTTTTTGCTTTGTACTTGGTGGTTTTAAATCTCATCTCAAAGCTACGTTTTTTTAAATAGTTGTTGTTATGTTACTTTGTCCTTGTCTGGTGACAGTATTTGTTGGTTTGTGTTTGTTATATCATCGTTTTTTTTTATTCAACAGCACTCATGGAGCATGTGTTGTTGTGAAAGGCGCTACGTGCAGTTAGTGTATTGTTAGTTGTACAGAAAGCCTGGCTTTTAAAGCGGTGTCGCAATGTTATAGCATCGGTTGGCGGTGCAGTAATTAACATTCGTGCTTCACAGCAAGAAGCGCCTGGTTTCAAGTCTGACTCGGGTGCCTTTCTGTGTGAAGTTTTAATGTTCTCCCCCTTGTTCTACATGGGTTTCCTCCGGGCTCTCCGAGATTTCTCCCATATGAAAATAAACATTGAAACTGGTATTGGCCAAACATACAATTGCAAGAAAAAAATACCTGCAAATGAATCAATTGGTATTACACACAACAGGAACATTGCCTGCCATCCGTGACAACTGACCCCTTCTGAAAACAAGTATTGAGACTCAGTAAATATGTTGAACTTCTTTCGGACCGTACGTAGCCAACCGTGCTAATCAGAATTGTGGGGGAAGGACAAACTTTCCTAGGTAAACAAGCATCATCATAATAATAACAGTATCATTATATAATATAGAACAAGACATTACATTCCTTGTGTTCTTCCTACATAGACTGTTACTCTTCAAATCAAGTGCCACGTTAATCATGACATGAATTGCACCAGAGACATGTTTTTTTGTGCTTAGTTTGAAAAGCTCCATATTCTATAAAAGGGGAAGCAGGCAGTTGAATTCCTGAGATTAAAATCAATCAATCAGCACAGCTCAGTAGCACATCTACTCAGCATTTGTGCCACTGATGATTTATTGATGCACGTTTGGCATATGCCTCGGTTCGTGGACAGTTGAGCCATACACCACACTCAGCCAAGACAAATCATTTTATATAAGTGCAACTTTGTGCTTTTTTGAGAGGGCACGAGCTGACCTGGAGAGAGCGGGCCGAAAAAAACATTTAATGGAGTGAACGGTCGGTTGTAGTTTCTCGCAAGTAACTGCTCTTGATGGATGGCGAAATTATAATATTTTTGCAAAGCGTCATCGCATTCGACTCCTATGGAACAAATCATCTTGGCAATGCCGCTGCTGATGCTGCTGCGTTGACAGCGGTGTACAAGCACACTAAAAAGAAACATCTATCAATAACACTGGCTTAAGAAATAAAATAATAGCTGACGTTTCGGGCAACGGCCTTTATTCACGGCACATAAAGCACACTGCTATAGGCGCATTGAAAGATCCCTGATTGTCATTGTAGTATTCACTCACAAACCAACAGTAGTACAAGGATGGGCCCCTGTTGACGCAGACACGATAGCGACATTATGTTTTCAATAATAGCGATGATCATTGCCTTTCATGTGGCTCTGTGTGCAAAGTTAAATTGTTTGATCAACTGAGCAAGCAAGTTGGGCTTGAATTGCTAATATAACCCACGTGGCATTCATTCCAATTTCCGATGCATCAATTATTTAATTAGGCAGCCGGTTTGGCTGGTATAGAATCTCACTTGATATGAGACACTGTGCTTATACCTACTCCATCACGTTAGCGTTAATAAAAAAATACAAAAATACAATGTACTCAGTGTTGTTTAGTGGCACAAATTGGAACACGTGAGATTTTTGTAAATGATTCGAGTGAAAATGGGGCTCACGGGCAGCTGATAATCCACACTGATGTCTCGTGTGTGTGGAGTGTGCAGTAGTTGTTGGGGTACTTGACTTGTCCCAACAGTCTTTTAAGGCTATACGGGGGATATTTGTCTTTGTGCAGAAGTAAACGTGGTGCTGGCCACCCCAACCATCTCGTGTGCCGTTCTGACCTTCATAAGCGTTCGCTCACCGCATTTGCCCCAACAGTTTGTTTAGGCTATACGGGGGGGGATCTTGTTTTTTTTTACAGTAGTGAACTGTGTGCATAAACAGCAGGCAGCCAGCCAAGTGGTGCAAATGAAGCAGTGGAGGTAAGTGAAGGCCAAGTGCAATGGTCGGACCTCCTGCGTTTGTGACAAGCAAGTTGGAATTCCCAATGATTTTTCGTTGTTTGTTAAATTTTCAAGTTACATTCCTGGCTGGCTGAGAGGAGGAGTGTTGTAGCAGTTCAAGCTTTTAATGTTGCTCTTCGTTTATTTTTTTTTTATCCGAGAATACTTGAACAGCCGAATGTTGTAATAGTAGTAATAATATACTTTATCCTGGAAAACCTCACCGTCTCTCGACTAATTATAATCAGAAGGGTATTTGGCCAGTTACTTTATTGGGAGCTCGTGGTGACCTGACTGTGGTCTGAATCAAGAATCAATTCCTCGTTTTACTTTGCGGTGAATGGAGTGGCTTCCAGAGGCTGCAAGGGGTCACGTGAGCCCATTACGACATCCATGAATGGAACGCATTGGATTGGTAAACATGATTCAATGAGCAAGATTCATCGACTGATATGAATTGATGAATCGTTGAATGATAAAACAGCTATTGGGTGCCCTTCTTAACCACATACAGCTGTAACGCGTAAAGCACTGAATATGAATAACACTGTGAATGAATGTGTTAACGAGACCTAATGTTAGCCATACTCTTTTAAGTTAAATCTCGCTGCACTGATGAAGTGTAACGATAAGTGCCTTGACATTGGAGTTGGCTATAATGAAATGTAAAGTGGCGATTGTGCGTGCCTTTTTTATTGCTCCGTATTAATTCAAACAGAGCGTCAGCCCGCGTGTGTCGGTGCTGGATGGAATACTCCGTCGTACGATCGTGAGAGATGATGGCACAGTGACTTGGGGAGGCTTTCATCCAGCAGTCGATTGATCGGAGTGGATGGGTGGACGATGACGATGATTTAAACAAAACTTGATTCAGGAATTTGCAGAGCAAATTTTCTCGTCGTGAAATGCGTTGCAGCCGAATTTTGCACGACGACGATTACGACGATGGAATCGAGAGAACCGGCTGCAATGGAGTGAATGTCAAATTTCAGGTCATCCTCATCCTCTCCACAAGGATCTCTGCACCCCCCCCCCCACTCGTGAAGTCTCAGGCGCAGCCAAGCGGGATGAAGTGGCTGCATGCGGAGCTAAAAGTCATCGTCTCGCAAGCATTCGTGATGTTGTAACCCTTGCTCATGGACCGGACCTTTTTTTTTTGTCACACTGTCCATGAGGCCAGGGGATTCATTTGTCACTGAATAATATCTGGGGGTGGGGGGTGTGGGGGGCTATTAAACCAGGGAGGTGGCATGGTGCAAGCAGCCGCAGCAAGAGATGCATTTGGATGAGAGATGCATTTGGATGCGGTGTGCCGGGTTTTGGAAATATTTTCTTGAGTTAAGTCCACGACAGCTGTGGCTGAAATGAAGATCTGCATTACATTAAGAAAACATGATTCTGCTTCATACTGCCACCGTAATAAATCGCTACATGTGCAAGATTTTGCATGATATTGGGCCATTTATTATATTATTATTATCAACGTTCCAGTTAAAGTGCAGCGTTGTTTCTGGTACGTACAATGCAATTTGTATTCGTAAAGTGTCCGAATGTGACCACGTCTCAAGGCGCTGTACAACTCCTGCAAACGTGCGACTTCTACTAGATAATGCGAAGAGAACAGTCTGGTACGGTGTTATTCTTTCGCAGGAGGGGAAACGAGGAGGATGCTGTAGGGCAGAGGGGGAGACGAGGTGACGGAAAGGCGACGGCGATTAAAAAAAAAAACTATTTTCATAGGAAGAGAGAGATATTCATGGGCAGAGACAAATAACAAAGTCTTGAGCCTGGACTTAAACAGAGGAATAACGAAACTTTTTATTTTACCAGGCAAGGCCCACCGAACTATATGTAGCTCTTTTTCAGAAGCGACCTGGCCACAAATGACAGCTCAACGAAGTGGCTTATCATGCGGAAATGTATAGCAGCCAATCACTCTGAACGCATGTTTCCAAATGTGGAGGTGAAAACCGCAGGACCCGGATAAAAATCCACGCGACCACGGTGAGAGTGACATGCAAACTCCAAATATCCGGGCGTCAGGGTCGGAATTGGACCCACGACCTGCTGCATACCAGGCGAGGTGTTGTTAACATCTCGACACCGTAGCGCCCCACCGAGGTCCCAATGGCCAAAAGGAGAGAACTCCAGACCACATTTCTGCAACCTCAGCATTAATGACTGCACACTGAGCCCAGCTCTGTACCCAAGCTGATGGTTCTCTGTGCTGTGGGCCCTCCTGTGGCCTGGCCGAACGTGTGTTGAGGTGTCTGGTTACCTGGCGCGTGAGTCGCGGCGTCAAATCGCCTTTTGACTGCCGCTGGCTTTGACCGATCGACAAACATCGCGAGCGTCGTGCTGGTGACAGGATGTTTGTGCCTTGTTAAGAATGGAGCCAGAGCGGTGCTTGTCAT